TCCAAGATAACTAATCTTGCAAGCGCCAAAGCCGCTTGGGGGTAGTAGGGCAGAACGTGGGCTGGGAGGCCATGCAGAATGGTTGTTTATCAGTCTCCGATCCAGGAGCGTGTATGCATGAAACCGTTTTCGAGGCAAAGACTACGAGATGGTTGCTCTGACACATCACCTCGGAACCACTCTTCTATCAAGACAGACTTGTACTCTGATACCCAGCAGCCGCCGTGTAATCTATTTTCGGATAAAAGTCAATCTCGAAGCCAGGTCCCAGACACTGTATCCGCGCGCACCGATACTATGTAGATGTTCGGCAAAACCCAGGGTGTGGCCAAAGACTGATGATGAGCAATGGCATTTGACCTGGAGATAAAGCAGCCGCAATCGATTGGCAAGCAGCTTGCTTCACCTTGGGCTGGCCCGATAACGATGAACAATATCCTGGGTGCCGTGACGCAAGCCACTGTTACAAGCCCCGGCCGTTTGGAAGCCACAACATGGCTAGAAGGTCTGCGACCTTGATAAAGGCGTGGGATGCACGAACTGCGAGACTCGCAGGAGTAAAGCCACGTCAAGGTGTTGTGCTAGGTGAAAAGACAGCCACACATGCATAGCTGAGGCGACTATGCAGTAGCTACCCCTCCACCAGCCTTCTAGATGGGGTGAGGAATTGAGAGGGTGGTTGATGCCATACTAGGATTTTGGCTAGGAGCGTGCTAGAGCAGTAGCTGGAAAGCATATGCGCGGGTCCAGCGACCTGGTTCGCGAAGGGGAAGTAGAAGGGACGGAAGATTTCGGGATGGTAGATCCAGGGCCAAAAGGGATCAACACTTGATGATCCCAAATCTGTTTTGATGTATTGGAGCTGTATGCATCCGGGTAGCACTGACTACCAAGATAGAGTGCGCCCGAGGTGCGACATTTGCCGGTGTTCTCGAAATCTTCGTCGCCATCGAGGCCGCCGCCCAGAGGGAGAGGCGACGAAGATGTGGAGACGGCTTAACTGGAGCAGGCCTAACACGTTCTGGCCAGACGGTTTCGACTCGAGGCTCGACGTGCCATCCCAGTTGCTCTCCCCGTCTGCTATGCGGAGATGCTAGAGGTCCCTCAGTGCACTTGCAGTAGCTGATGGAGGTAGGTATCGCATTGCTGCTCGGCCTACAGAACAGTCATCTAGTTCTTTCATCCTACTCGCGGTGGATGCAGTCAGTGGAGCATCTCTCTGCTTGCTTGCCAGAGCCTCCATTGAGATGAAGGCACGTCTTGTCCCATTGATATCAGTTGTTCGAGATCCCAGATTTTGGATGGGCAAGATGGCACAACCACCAGCATTGAATGGGTGCCCTGGCCTAGCTTGACCTGACTGGCTCACGCAGACGTCTACCACCTCGGTGTAGACATTGTGCAAATTAATGCTCGCTGATACGCTCGGGCGGTTCGTGGCGTCTTCTCGGGGCCTGTTGGAGGCTTGCTCTACGTGACTCTGCAGGACGAGGATTGCAAAACTCAGAGGGGAGACACGGTCCGCCTGCAAGATTTTGTTCGAGCCACCCTACCTACATTCGAGTAGAACAGAGGAACTTGAGGACATGTCAACATTCGCTCATCCGTTCTACGTAAGCTACGTATACCGTGTGGCGTTGGGTTAAAGGCCCCTGACGGACGAAGCACTGGCATTTTCAGGGACGCGACATCAGGGTAGTTTCTCTTATTCATAGGAAAGTAGCGGTCCAGCGGCATCTTTGGTTTTGCGTCGGAGACTGACGTCGACAGGTGAAGGGATAAAGTCGAGATCTCCTGCAGTACCTAAGTAGGTATTACGCAGTAGAGCGGCGATCTGGTACTGTAGTCAATCTCCTTTGACGCCGTTTAAAGTCTCAGCCTGCTGGGGACGATGAAGTAATTTGGCGTCTCATCGGTGATGTTTCTGGGAGGATGGAGCGTTCATTCGCTCGATTATGCCCCAGGATCGACGGGCCAAATCGAGCTCGAGCTCCCTTTCCATATTACAGCACATGTATTGCGTGTCGTATTGTAATTAGGCCTCCCCCACCTCCATTCGAGATCCTGGAATCCCCAGGTCTTGGTTTCCATGTTGGACCGAGACATTATACTTCCACCCCAGCGAAAAATTTCTTCTACAAGTCGCCTACGGAGCCACCGGCTGGGCTCTTTTTTGATGCTGACATACATACCGTCTTGGTACGTGAAATTTCTCAACCTCGCCTTGCCTCGCCTCGCCCTGCCGCTCCAGCATCTGCACCCCGCTCGCTAAGGTGAAGGTTCTGCTCGCTGCAAGTCAGCTCGTCAAGTCATTGCTTTTCTTCCCGGTTTTTGGGGTCCCGTCGTTGCTTGACTGCCAGCCAACGGTTGGCGGTCCATGGCGAGCATGCGGCGTGCACGTAGAGCAGTTGGGTGATGCTAGGCCAAGCCAAGGCAAGACCAGGACAGACCAGGACAGGGACGGTTATGTTATTCAATGAGCGGTGTCACGCCTTCATTCTGGCCTGCGGCGTACAGTAATAATATTACACCTGTCAATGCCATTACGCTGCCCCCATGTCATCCAGACGTATTGGGGCATCGTGGCATGCCCTCAACAAGGAATGCTTCTCCACATCAGCACCGAGCAGTCCTCATAGTCCGCGTTCTCATTCGTGCGTCTGGCGGTCACCAGGCCAGTCACCCGTTTCCAGCAAGACGGAAGCGCAGAAACAGACAAGAGCTCGTGATCAGAAGGGGCATTTCAGGCAAGCAGCACTGTCTCGCCGTCCGCTCCGGGGCCCCGGCCCTGTCTTACGCCATCTGTGCCACTGCTAATGTCATGCCTACTGCGCAGAAGGTAGGTACTTGTCCAGGTAATAAGCCTGCAGTTATAGATACCTACCATCTGGGCTCTGGTAATTCCCTCGCCTGCCCACCGCCGCCGCCTTACCTTGTCCGTGTGGCCCACGGCATCCCACGCCGTCGTTCCTCTTGCCAGGGCGAAAGAGTCACTCAACCAGTCAATCATGGCAAACATGGTCTTGTATGAATATGGATATGGATATGGATATGATTAGGCTTGATCTTCTAACTCTGTCAAACCCCCCTTTCTGTCTCTCTCTATCTCTGTGGGTTTTGTACCTGTCGATGCTAAGATGCATGTACCTAGCGGACGGCCTCAATCTACCTGAAAATCGCATTCCTGCTTGGCCAGCTGCTATTCGCAACAGCATTCTCTGCCACGGCCCGCCCTTGAACGAATAAGACATCGTGGCTCCCTGCACTCCACACTATCGGCACGTCCTGCATAGTACGCACGCACGTTTGCTCTGCCTCTGCTCTGCTTGGAAGTGGAGGTACTGCGCAGATACGCAAGCACTGGCTGCTGCTGGTAAGCTGCTATCGCCCATTCGCTCGCGACAACCTACCTGGCGCCCCATCCCCCCTTCTCCGTACAGCACAGCACGGTTCAGACAGGCGGACTGCAGTCCGCTACGGACGAAGAGCTCATTTGCAGCTATGGAGTGTACAGCGTGCAGGCCACCGGCAGGGTTCAATTCATCCTCTATGACGCTACTGTACCTGTGCTGCAAATGCAGAGGCTGCTTGCTGCTACATAGTAGGTAGCTACTGCACATACTGCGCATAGTACATCACATCCACCCTGATGATCCCGCGAGAAAGACATACGAGAGAGATAGAGGAGAAGATGTAATACATTGCCTGCCTTTGGTACTGCGTAGTCGCAGCATTATCACCATCGCCATCTAGCACTGACATTGTAGTTGGCGTCATCCCATCCCCGATAACATCGCATTGCACACAACAGTCTCCTACCTACTATGCGGTACACAGAAGAAGGTACCTACCGAAGATGGAGGGGTAGGTACTTGGTAAAATGTCTGCGCATCACCTTGGCTACTCAAGTACCTATCTAGGTACACTTTAGGTATGGTGCTTCGTGTACCTGCCTACCATACCTAATCCGACACCTGCTGGTATCTGAGAAAACCCCCATCCTGAACCCTATCGCAACAAGCCCCGGTCAAGCCCCTCTCCTCGCAAAATCCCATCCCACGCTCGCCACCACACACACCTCGCACACACCTTTTCTTAGGTACCTAAGCGTGCTAAGGTAGTGCCCTACTATGTAAGGTAGGTAGGTAGTCGGGTCGCTCAGTTAGTCTGCTCGTACCTAGGTACTTTACTTTACACTTAGTATGCAGTACCTAGGTAGGCCCTTTAGGTAGGCACATGTAGTTACCCACTCCCACATCGTAATCCAGAAGCGAACCTTAACCCTGGAAGGGCCTTTTTTCTTGACCATTCCCAGCTAGCAAATGGCCTGGGCCACTGGAACGGACTGCACTAGGTACCTGCCTAGGTAGGTAGGGAACGAAGTACTTGCCTACTGCATAGTGAGTGCGCTCGGGTCCGGTGTACTGCGTACATAGTAGACTGGACCTAGACTGCGAGACAGACCTGACCTGCACCCTCGCGCGTTAATTTGCACCCCCGTCCCTCAGCCTCCGATGAGCCGGGGCATTCATCCGCACCAGAACAGTCTCTTTTCGTCTGTGCCCACTTCTTTTCTCCCACCCACCCGTCGTCCTTGACTCTGATCTCTTGACCGGACGGCTGCTTTTCTATTCCTGCCTCGCCTCAACCCAAAACACAATCTTCACCACCCCACATCACTTCTCATCTGGACCGCTTCCTAATCCCTCCCGCCAGCTTCTTCTAATCACGAGGTCCCCAGATTCGAGACCGTCAATCCGGCTTCGACCTGCCCGTCCCCGGTCTGAATTGGCCCTTACAATAACTACTCCGCTCCCGCCGTCCCAGTCACCGCCTTTGTGTGTTCGAGCGCCTCCAAGCCACCCAAAACGGTCCACCGGTATTCCCGCAGAACAAACACTGGCACTCACTCCTACGCCTCGTCGTGTGGCCTGGCGCTGAAATCCCTCCATCTGGCTTGGGAGGCCGCCATTGAAGGACAAACTATCGTTATCTTGCCTATGACGAATTTCCGCGGTCCCATTGCCGGAGCAGTGAAGGTGACATTGGACAGTACGTCCGCATAGTCACCGGGATTTGTTGCTCAGGATGGCCGTGGTGCTCTCTTCCGAAGAGAACAGCTACTTCTCGTCCTCGCCGCTTCGACGTTCACACTCCCAACCAGGCTTCGTAAACAGGCAGGCCAGCTTTCACACCTCCAATTCTGCCTCGAGGATACACGACATCTATCCTGACCAGGTCAAGGTGTACGGAGAATCGCCTCCTTCCTCAGCTCCCTCATCACCACCCACCCTCCACGCGGCCACCCCGGACGATCTGTCCTACTCCTCAACGCCGGCCACAAACTTGTCACTGGCCGACGACGACGACGACACGCTGGATCTAATATCTTCAAAACCACACAGCAGCTTCAAGCTTCCTGATTATAATCAGTATGAGGAGGACTTGGAGCCTCCCAGTCCCGGCAGCGGTTCATTCACCCCAAACGGCAATGACACATCGGAAAATACCTCGCGGCCAGACACTCCAGATCTACCTCTACAACATCCGGTAGATGACAGCGCTGTCGGGGCGCAGCCGTCCCGTCATGTCGACTATCTGTCACACGACTGGAGGGAAGAGGATATATGGTCATCGTGGAAATACATCATCTCAAAGAAAGGTGATTATAGTAATGCCGCCAGATTGGAGAATGCATCTTGGAGGACTTGGATGAAGGCGAAAAATAAGCTCAAGACTGTATCGCCGGAGACATTGAACTGGTTCGTTTCCATGTACTCTGAACTCATGAATGACTGCTAACCCGCTACAGGCTTAAGGATTGTGATGTCACCTGGCTTTACGGTCCTCTGCAGACGGGCAACAACAATCTAATGCCTCCGCAGACGAACGCGGGAAGTAGTGGGTTGTCAAAGTCCAACTCGTTCCTAGGAGCCCACAAGAAACCGATCTTGAAGAAGAGAACCATGTCGGAAGTGATGCTTGCGAGGTCGCTATCGGCATCGTCTTTACTTAAACAGGCCGCTGCTGCCGTGCAAGCGCAGCAGCATGATGGCAGCAGGAAAACCGCTCGACCTAGACTTGAGCGATCTGCCACAGACTACATTACCTTTCCCTTCTCATCACGGAGGATGAGCGCAGAGAACACAAGCCGCCTGACGTCAGCGGTCTCGTCTGGAATTATCTCGCCGAGCGGCGAACGCAAACACATTCATTTCAATGAACAAGTTGAGCAGTGCATTGCTATCGACGTCAAGGGCAATGACGAAGAGGACGAAGTCGAGAACGATCGCTTCACTTTTGATGACAGCGACTCCTCTGATGACGGCGCCATAATGATGAAACGAACAGTCACCAAGAAGCGACGTCCCATTCTGAAGAGGGCACACAGCGATACCTCCAAGGCGGAAAGCAAGACCATTGCCATGCTGCCGTCAACAACCCTCAAGTATAGGGAAGATACGCCCGAACCACAAGAGACAGCGATGAAACACAGCAACGCCCTCTACAGAAGCCCCATATTATCGCCCTCTTCATCCCAAGAAACGCTACGGCCTTCAAAAGCCTCGGGCAAGTTCTTCTTCAACGACGATGATGAAGACGATGAGGAGGATGAGGAAGAGGAGGACAACCGGTTCAGTGGTTTGCGGTCTCCCACAAAATTTGGCAGCTCATCCGGGTTACACCGGTCAACGTCGTCGGGTAGTCTGACGGCAGAACCGGCCGGTATGCGGCGTACAGAATCCGGCATGTTTATGCCCTATGAAGAGGGCGAATCGGCTGCGGCCACCGAAGGCATCTTTGGCCGCGTCATTGATACGGTAAATACGGCCCGCGACATCGCTCATGTCATCTGGAATGTCGGGTGGAGGAAGTGATATTGACTGTGTTTCTTCAGAAAAAGAAGGCGAAGGCTTCGAACGGTCCGTCATATTTCTCGAGAGCTAAGCGATGAAAGAGTCAGCTGGAACGGCATTCCATGATATTCCTACCCTACCACATTACCACATTTAGTTACACGGGTGTACGATATAGCTCGGGAGTCTCTTCGACGGACGGATGGCTACAGCGCGGGGATTTTGTCAAGGTCGAGCGAGTGTACCACACGGATTTCCCCCATCGGCAGTTTAGAACGAACCCCCCGGCAACTCCACACCTGATATTATCATCTCTCCCTACCTACAAGGCTTTCGGTAAAGCCCTTATGTGTCACGACAACAATTATTGCATTGCATGCGGCGTTTAGGAACGATTATTTTATGGCTCATCGGTTTTTTGGTTCGGGGAACGGTTCCGCAGGTTCTTGGGCAAACGGTCTGGTCCATCCTCATGGGGTGTTATATGGTATACGGTCGACCTCTCCGTCACTCGGGTTCTTTCGGTTCGGTTCTCGGGGTTTTTGTGCTTTATACGGGGGAGAGCAGGATCCATTTTCTGGGGGATTCACGAACCTCTTAATCACCTGTGGCAATAAGGAGGCGTCAAGAGCGCTCACCTGGCCACTAGGCGAAAATGAACAGGCAACACAAAAGCACGGAAAACAAACGGGTTAATGGAAGAGGAGTTATGAGAAGGGGTTTAATATCAAGGGTGAAATCAAGATCAGGGGAAAGGGGAAATCGGTTGTATTTTTTGCGCCTGCGCACCTGATTAGGGGTGGGGGGATTGTCCACAACAGAGAGAAGGAGAGATCATGCGCTCTGGCGTACGAAGGGGAAAGGCAAAGCCTGTATCGTATCACGGAAAGGGTCGAGACTGCTCGATAATAACCGATCTGGAGCCTTGTTGTCTTCGTGGGGTTGAGTTGGATCAGGGGATGTAAGAACAGACAAAATGAAGACCCCTGTGGAGGCAAGGATGTCCAGCATAGAGCAATCCGATCGGCAACGACCAGGCAAAGCGTCGATGGGAAGGAGGGACAGATGATTTATATCAAAGTATGTAGATCTTGGAAAAGCCAGCTTTGGCTATGGACTTAAAAAAATTGCGCGGTCTCGTTTAAATATGTTGTTTGTGTGTGTGTTGTCTATCTTTGAGCCCCACGCCGGGAAAGCTCTGATCAGCCAGCAGGTCGAATGAGGTGCTGACACGCAACGGCCGGAGATCGAGTGGCTGGCTGGCTGGCTGGCTGGCATTGCACTTTTGATGGGTAGGCGCTGAGGGAATTATGAAGAAGCATCTGAAGATCAACAGTTGGGCATCGAGTTGGGAAGAGAAAGAAGCGTTGAGAGTTGAAGGTGATTGTTTCTACTGACAATTGTTGGGCTGGTCGAACCAGACCGCTTTTCACCTTACCGCCAAAGCCATCTCCTCGTTCGATGAATGGCGCCTTTAAACATCCCATGCCGGGGACGCCGTCGTATGATCTAACATTATATTCTACAGATTTTATACAGGCTTTTTATGTTGTACAATATGTGAATTGATGAATATTCACTACTCACTCGCTTCTGCTTCAGCTTCACCTTCAGCAATGGCGGCCTTGCCCACGGCCCGGACGAGAATGGACTTCTCCACGACATTGACGTCGACCAGCTCGACATCGAGCACCTCGCCCGTCTCCAGCTCGGACAGCTGGATGCCGAGGGCGTTCAGCCCGTCAATGGCCATCAGCGCCGGGCGGTCGAACCAGTTGAGGCGGCCGCGGACGGCCCTGCGCGCGAGGACGTCGGCCACGGTGAAGCGGAACGTCTTGGGCAGCGCCGCCTCGCCGAAGTGCCACGCCCGCACGAGGGCCTGCAGCATCCACTCTGCGTTGCCGTCGCCGTCGTCGAGGGCCCGCATCGTGCGCTCGCGGACGCGCAGCATCGGCAGCACCGACCGCTCGAGCCGCTCCCTGGTGAAGGGCAGGAAGCTGTCGTCGTCCGTGTTGCCGACGAGCGAGGTGCCGCGGCGCTCCTCCTCCAGCAGGGCCGCCTCGACTTGCCAGTGCACGAGCAGGTCGGAGAAGCGCCGGAGGGGGCTGGTGGCTTTGGTGTACATGGACAAGCCCATGGTGAAGTGCGGGGCGGGAGTAGCTGAGATCTCGTCCGAGCCGAGCAGTGAACGCATCGTGCGCCAGTCAGTCTCGCTGGGTCGCTCTCCAGCTGCCAGCTTGGGATAAAGTACATCTCGAGTGAAGGTTTGAAGAGATGATAGGTTTACTGCGGCAAGAGGCTGTGTGCGATAAGGAATGGGAATGCCTCGCTCGGCACACCAACGCGCAGCTATTTCGCCCGCCAGCCGCATCGTACTGTCGACAAGGGGTGTTCTGTCGTCTTCCCTGTAATATATTTTGATATAGGGATCTCCCGAACAGGTAAGGAAGCCATTGGGTAATTCCTGGACGACGGACTGCTGGAACCAAACCTCGGTCTTCGGCCGCGGCCAGTGTAGAGGAATGGCCCCTTTTAGGAGACGAGACTTCTGAAGAGCTGCCCCGACGCGAGAAAGTGCCCTAAGGTTTTCAACGTCTTGCTGAGAAAGTTCCTTCGCGGTGGTCATTTTCCTATTTCGAGGTTTCTTCGCTTTCGGAGCCGTGCCCACAGCGAAGGCCTGATCTAAATCGAGTGGAGGTATGTCTTCTCCACATACCTCATTGACGTCTTTGCCGGTGATGTACACGACATCCCGGAGCGTACCTGGAGCTATCTTGTATTCTTGAATCTGACCCTCGTCGTCCACCCGTGCACTGAAAGTAAGACAAGGCCGATCTGGGGCAAGAGAGAACTTCGTACGGACCGCCGCTACTGGCAGCATGCGCTCGAAATGACCTGGGAGGTAGGCTGTCTGTGGAACTAGCTCAGCTCGCTTGGCCAGAAGACTGTCTGGAGCCATGCCGGAAGCTGGGTCAGCCACGTGGATATGAACCCATTGCTCGCCCTCTGGGGTCCATTCAATGGACACTGCGTCATCTATATCGCTCGCGTTTGCAGCGTCAATGCAGTATGCGCGGAGACGAGTCCAATCCTTTCTCAACCTTGCGAGAGGGTCACCTTGACGGAGACCTCCATCTCCCGTCAAGCTCTGACCAAGAAAGCCCCCAGTCCTCTTGAGGCCTACACCAGGAAGTCGTAGGGAGTATCGAGAGCTGATGTCCCATGGCGGTATCCAGCCTATCTCCTGGAGAAATGTCCATCCTGTGGTTGTTGTAAGGTATTCACTTTCATCGTATCGTTCGATGGCACGGAGTATGCCAGCACCTATCCAATGTAGACTTGATGCGCGGGAGAACTTCCTGAAGCTAGACCACAGCTGCATAAAATGCAGTATCTTGACATCCGAATCCGTCCACTCTATCGAGTGCGGTTTCGAGAACTTGACAGCTGGGCCAAGCATGCCATGCGGCGACCATTTGCGGAATTCACGGCTGCTGTCTATAGCCTCACGAGCCTTCAGAATGAATCGTCCAAGCTGACTTTGGCCAAGTCTAGACGGCTTTAGAGAGCCACCATATAGCTGAGCATCATCATAAAACATACGCATCAGCGAGTTCATCTTATCAACGAGCTGGACGTCACTGAGAGAACTAATCTCGTAGAGGTAAGAGCGTCGATTGCCGATAGGCGTCATCGGTCGAAATGCAGCATCGTTGACCATCAGAGTCTTGTGCACAGCGTAAAGGGCAGCTGGCGGGAACTTGCCATCCGCCTTGACTGCACTCGGCAATAGAATATCGGCAATTTCTTCCAGGGACAGGTATTGCTCGGTCTGTCCCAAGAACTCCGACGCATTGTCCAACCGCGCTGCGTGTGTCTGGTGAATGACTTCAGATTCCACGGAGAAGTCAAGCATCTTTCTAATCAGAAAGGACCCAGTGTTGCGAGACGGCCCCTGGCGCATGTCTTGTAGGGCATTCAGAACCTCCATTGGTGTATCCCTTGCCGGCAATGCGTCAATGACTGGCTGCAGCTCGGCCGCGTCCACGAAGTTGTTGACCGTGAACAGAGTCCGAATGCCATGGCTCGTGAACCACTTGCCCGTGTTTGTATAGAAGTGTTCGGCGCCGTTGAAGCGTCCAAGGCAAATGGCAAGTGCTTGGGCATTGAGAGTGTCAGAGGTAACTTCCACCAAATCTCCCGCCTGGAGCTGTACAGCGTCTGCGCGCAGGTCGACCAGGTCGTCGCCGTCGAACAACGGCCGGTCCTCCTTTATGCCGTCGTCGTTGACTTCGTTGATGAAGGAACTCGGATTCCTGGTGACCACGCTGGGAACAGATCCTGGTGCGCTATGCTCTGCGCGCAGCTGAAGCCCAGGCGCTGGGTTCTCTGCTTCCCAATTTCGTAACCTTTCGCGAATCGACAGACGTGGGGAACTATTTGTGATATCGGCCACGCTTGGTGGAGGCTCATCGTTTCGGGTTTCGCCTACATCTTGAACGGTCGCGAGAAACTGATTGGTATGGTCAATATATCAGTACAGACTTGTGGGCTCATGGGCATGCCTACTCTGCGGCTTGCAGGCGAGGCTGCTGTAGCGGACGCGCTGTTGTCCCATCCATAATGCTGGTATATGGAGGCTTTCCGACTGATCAGTGAAGACGGTAGGTGTTGGCGACTAAGGCACCTCCTACATACATACCGGCTACTTGCAGCCTTCAGCATGTTTTCTGTAGTGCAGCCTGGTGGTGCTGCATGAAGAGCTTGCGAGTTTCAAAATTTGTTCTGCTCTGGTCAGCCTTGCGGCAATTGGCCACTAAACCACCAAGGCTGTTGGGTGGGACACGTGCTACCAACTTCATGTAACAACCATCTTATCAGCAATCAAGCAAGTTTGCATACCATTGCCGTGTTTTTCCAAAACCTGTTGCTTCAAGAAACAAGCAGACACTGGTGACAAATAAACGTTTCGCTCTTGTTGGCTCTCTAGGTCTTCATATATAGCATCTTAGAGGGCCGGACAGAATATTTTGTTCGTTTCAACCATCTGTCTCCAGTTCGATTCATTTAGATTTGAAGTGGTATTTATCGTAGAATTGAAAGCTATACTCTTCTTGAAGTATATATCAAATTGCGAATTTATGTTTTGTGTTCTGCCATGAGCCTTTATTGCGCTCGACCGATGCCCATAAAGACACATATGTTCAAGATCACAGGCGAAGAATGCTAAAGGCACCTGATCCTCGCCATCTTCCACAATGGGCTACCCAGGTCTAATGTAGATGGCGGCAGCCTATATATAAGATTTTATCCATGTATAAAGGCGCCTTTCGAAGAGAAACTCAAGCAGCTGGATAAAAGGTCTGATGTAGAATCCGATACCGACGCTGATACTACTGCAAACCTACCAGACCTATCAGACGCCTCTATCGAAGACGACGATACCATCCCCATACAGACCGCTGATACCGGTCTACAGGACCTTAGGAACTATGCTATATTCTGGGGCCTAAGCAAGCAGTAGATATCCAACTATCTCTACTATAGTAAGGGCGAGCATAAGGTTCTCTACATTATGCTTCCGCTCCAACCATACCAGCTTAAGGTCATTTACCGTATCCTTATCTACTCCTTCGATACGAGCATCTTTGATATAGTGCTTGCAGACACTATAGGTCTAGACAAGATGCTATAGTCTTCCGCCGCTGCTGTCACCATATACCACGTCATTATATATAACACGATATTTGGGGAAATGATAGGAAAAAAGGCCAGCTTCATCTTATGGCCAATCAGCGGGCCCAGCTGCTCTTGTCAGTTGACCACAGCGTAGGATGCCTCCGACAAGATATACCGCCTCAGCTTTACATACCCCTATATGCCCTACCTACCTACATTCAAGCTCTACTCCCAAGGCTTTCTACTCATAGAACCGGCCATTATCCTTATACCACCCAACCTCTTAGGCCAGTAAGCCGCCGAGCTCTCACGATACCTCACTAACACGCCCCTTCCTAAGAGCCTGTCGGCCAGCGTAAAGGTCAGGAGGCTATAGTAGAGTGGCCACCAGCCCAAGCCTCCATGCATCAGTCACTTTGGCGGCTATAAGGCAGCGATCGACAGCGTTAGGATTCTAAATGAATGGAGGAGGTCAGATCCTCCCAGAACAGCGCCCACTTCAAGCTCATCTCTCGGGGCAAGTGGAGAGACAACCGTATCATATTCCTCCTCCTGATGATCTACTACACTTATATATTCACATAGAACGTTTTGTAGGATATCCTCCTATTTAAGATTAAGTAGCTTTATCTAGTGTGTCGGGCACGCTCAATAGTAACTAGAAAGAGGGCTTTACATGAAGAGAGCTACCTTTTTTCCTAGGATGTGGATTGTGGAGGTGTGATGATGGCAAGTTGAAGAAGTTCTTTGTCTGTGGCTCTGAAAGGGCAAGACGAGGAGATCTAGAACAACATCGGGAAAAAAGGACACCAGGGAAAGCTCTTGACGTTAAGCTTCGCGTCCAGCAACCATCACCTTTGTGCCAGTACCAACGAGACCAAATCGACATTCTTTGTCGACATAAAATTCCTCCGTCCAGCCTCAGATACTCAATCATCCCTCCAATTTTCCACACACAAACACATCAACACGTCGTCGACAATCACTCCCAACTTGCGACAAGATGGTTTGCATTTATGCCACTGGGCTCCTTGCCATTTTTGCCTTCACTCAGCCAGGAATGAACATGAACCTGGATCCTGCTACGCGCACGCGATGGCCCCTTAGGGTCACGGACATTGTCAGACTGAGTGTCACCAACACTACTACACCCTCAAGCCAGACGACCGAAATGAGCCTCCTCACACTTACCTCAGTTGAGCCCTCACCGTCATTCTTCACCGCTGATATGCCTAGTAAGCAAGCACCTCCCTTTTTTCATGGTCTGCCATGCACAAATATATATCAGATTCAAGTGGATGGTGCAATCCGCACTTGGATAAAGAAGATAGGGGGAAACTAGAAAACACTACCCTGAGCTTTTGACCTCATGAAGTTGCTAACCCACATTTTTATAGTGGATCATTCCATGATGATTATGCCCTCGGGGACTGACGTACCGATCGACCCTTCCACTACGGAGCCGGCGACTGACGTATCTGGCGCCATCAAGAAGCACTTCTCGGTGAGCCCCATCGAGTGGGACGACATGCGAGAGAGACACGATAGCTGATAGACTTTAGGCCAGTCTCCTCGCCATCATGGCTGCCAGCAGCATTGTCATCTATCTCTAGGTAGCTTAGAGACAATGTTGCAAAAGAACAGCCCGAACAAGATTGCTTGGGATAAGCCTTGGTCATGCCCTTTGTTGTGGAGTTTTGAAGACTGGTTGGGTTGTGTGTTCACTCTGGATGGAGGATATGGTTTTCGGATAAGGAGAGCTTAGGAAGCATGGCTGTTTTCTAGTCAGCCTCATCTTGAGGTCATTGGCTCAATGTAAAGCCAAATACATTGGTCTTGACTTCAACCCAAAGCACCGACTGAGTGTGAAATAATTGATGACAAAAATAAAGAAAAATGAAAATGCACCCGCCCAAGAGACTTCATAGGCTGTCTTCAACCTCTCAGCTTATCCACATATTTGAGGCTAACGAGCAAGCGATGTCCCGGAATCTTGATTGCAAAGCTCTCAGCCGGTGAGCCTTTCGAATACGGCCACAGCTTATTGCAAAACTTGATCGAGTCCTGTCATTCACTCGGCTGCCTCTGCGCTTGCCGGGGCTCCTTTCTATTTCTAGCTTCTCCTGAACAGCAAGCAGGACGTCTCCGGCGGCGAGTAAGGGCTGCGCCTCGCCGCCCTGCAACCCGGGTAAAGGGGCCCAGCCAGCCAGGCGAGGCTCCGGTGGAGATAGCCACCTAGGTAGGCGGAGGCGGTGTTGCGAAGCGATGCTTCCTTGCCAAGCAGTGCCATGCAGGCATGCAAGTCCACTTGGCGGAGAACACATCTTCCCCAGGAGATGAGCAGAGAATTGCCCAAGACGAGATGGTCGGATTGCCAAGTACCGAGCTCACTTCTCTGCTCTTGGTGCTTGGTGGCTCCGGTGGGAAACTGGCAATCGCATTTTCTCAGGGGGAGATGAGATCCAGATGGGCAAGAGAGTCGAGGCCTAGAGATCGCCGTTAACTTGCCGCTTGCATTCTAGCGGTGCATCTGTCAATAAGGACGAGGGCGACAGCACGGACAACGACGTGCGAAATGGCACAGCAATTAACGTTTCCTGCGTGTAGGGCTAATTTGGCAGCGGGGATTTGCTCAGATTACCTGCCTCGTATGCGTCACTGGCGCCAGGACGTTGTTACATGCCCGGTATATTCATGATTGTCTGGTGGAATACGCAGACATAAAAGACATACATACGTACATGGTGTGATATGATGTGCACAAGGCGGCTGTGGGGGGGAGATCCGGCGGCGGCACAGAGCTGAAAAGGGTTCAGCGAAGGAAGGAATGGAAGGCCGCCTGAGACAAGGCGGACGCAGCGACGATGTCATGGCTGTGGATGCATGGGCGCCGTTTTATGAAAATGGGGTTGTCTTAATGTTAAGGTAGTTAGCCTCCCGGATGTCGTCGGCCTGCTCCTCGCTGGCTGGCGTGTATTCTATTCGGCCATCGTCGACTGGATCGTAGCCGTTTGACTCCAGCATTATGGTTACTACCAAATTGAACAAGGACGCCTGTTTAATGAAGGGGTCAACGTGGCGCTGAGATTGGAAGAAAGACGCAGAGAGTAGCACACAGTAATACACAGTAGGGGAAAAGGACGCTGACAGGGGTGCAGGGGTGCAGGGGTGTGGTGAGTATTTGCTGGTCGGTTCCTGGGCTAGTGTCATGCTCAAATGCAGGTACGAGCGGATTCTGTGGGATTTGCGGCCCACTTGGGGAACCCCGCCGTACCTGCCTCTATCTTGACCACCCACTGGTACTTGTCTGCCCTGCAGTTCACACACCAAAGTCCAGGTATCGAGTACGTAAGCGTACTCTGGTATCTCATGCAAGAGGTGGCCGGGTTGTCCCAACCGCTCCTGGCAGCTTCGACCGACAGATCAACACTGCCGCATGCTTCTTCCGGCAGCTCAGAGAACAGATACGAAGTGCGCAAATCTTGCAAATGAACACCAGGTCTCTATGTACAGTGCGCTCAGGAGCTTCAAAGTTCAGTCCAAGAGAACAGGACCGGCGATGGTGACCGGAGAGCAAGCTGGAGTGAAGTAAGGGCTCAACTGTCAACATAAAAGTGTGCTCGCAGCTGCTTATACGCCCCTTGCCGAGCCTTGGACTCTTTTCTTTTTCCAACCGGTCCTCGAGTACGCAGTACATATTGCACAGTGTATGCTTTACTGTACCTTTGACATGTGAGCGCGCCTGTGCTTAGTCAGTCGGTCAGCCAGCCAGTCAGTCCAGGATGTCAAGGATGGCTTCGCAGCGTCGGCGCATATACGTAGGTGGCGATGGAATCAAACTCGCCTTGCCCGGCCTCAGCTCGCACTCGAGACTACTCTACCGGTGCTCTGCTCTGCGGTGTACATAGTCCCCTGCTATATGGTCTAATTGCTGACACGATCTCTGTGGGGAATAGGAGTGCATGTCTTGTCAGGCTACTTAGGTAGCTGACAAGGACATCTCAAATGCAGTGGCCCTGCGTAGCATCGACAACACTGATGGTGACCGGTAGTGACCGGTAGCCCAGAGCTTGGCTGGTTGTTTCTCATTTGCGCCGAGAGCAGTGCAAGACCTACAGGACAATTTTTTGGTAACCGAGCGAGAAAATGACTCGAGTGATTGGATGTCTGATGGAGTTGTTGTTGTGGTCTTTCAACTTCGCATTGTATATTCCCACGGCTTCATTGGTTTCCGTTCCTGACAGGACGTCAGCAACTAGTGAGGGGACGTGTTATTACGGTTCAAGGCGATTAATTGTTGACTGGCCGTCACCTTCACCTGTTTCCCTGGTAAAAGGGGGGTGCCATATCGAGATATTACAGTGCTGTAGAGGAGGTCCCGTGTCCATCGTATAGGAGTGGCTCATGGAGCTCTGTGCTCGACGTACCGTAATTTTGGCAGGATGCAATGTCGCGTAGCTAATTTCCCGGTCGGCCACTGGCCACCCGCCAAAACCACGGCCTTTTTTCAATGTGGAGAAGCGCCGCCGCTTGGTACAGGTACAGTGCACAGCAGAAAAACACACGCCAACCAACGAACAACCAGGCCAATTTCCCTCTTCCACATCCACCTCGCTCTTCCACGACGGGCAGCAATGACAGCAATGACAGTGCGAATGGCACCCTGACTGACCAACTGACACACCCCTTTCGCGCTGGTTCTTTCTCTTGCTAATTTGACAATTGCCGCTTTCGACGGTGACCTTGCCCGATTGATGGAGGCGCTGCGACCGGCCTCTTGTTTCTCTCAATTTAGCCCGCCGTTGTTAGTTGCTCGACAGTCACCACGCCGTCGACTCCGCACTTTCCGCTCATCTGCTCCTATCTGCGCTTCCCGTAGCTCGACCCTCCTCCAGAGGGCTCCCCTGACCAAAGCCCAGAGAGGCTTTTCCCTCTTTGGGTCTCTTCAATTACGATCCCGACAGTGCTGCCCACACATCCTGGCAAGCGTCACGGCCAATTGGACAATGTGATGTGCTGCTCGAGGGAGCCCTGCTCTGTTCTGCTCTGTACCGTCCGCTGCTCTACTCTACGGCCTCGGCGGCGTGCTGGGCAACAACACCCTAATGACGACTCCACAACCAGGCACACGCCGTCAGGATCGTCAGCGCAAGTGCTGCCAGGGGGTTGATTGTTGTGTGTGTGGATGGTCAATGGCCACCAACATGGGCAAGCATGGCTCTCTGCTGGGCCCCCGGTCCTCCTCTATGCCAAAAAAAAACAACCTTCACGCCTGGCGCCAAGCGGCCCCAGATGCAATATTAACGCCAGCCCGCCTCTCATTTCCTCTGGGTGTGGCTCCTCTCTCTCTTCTCCTCCTCACGAAAGACGTCTCCTTCAGTGGTGATGCTGTCAAGTTGAAAGCTGCTCTCGCTTTCGTCGTTCGTTTCCCCCCCCCCAAGGGTCTATCCTGACTACCGCTTCACTCATTCAGCGGGCATTCGTTTCCTACCAACAAACCCAACTAAGAAATATATAACTCAAAAAATCTAGCATTCAGCAAACATGAAGGCAGGGTATCTGGCAGCCGCAGCGGCGGCTCTCATGGAGGGCGTCAGCGCTCACCGAGTCCACCGCCATGCTCACGAGCTCTTCCACGCCAAGAAGGGCCTCAACGACAGCGAGTTCTGCGTCCCCGAGTGCTCCACGATCTACACCACGATCACCGGATCTCCGATCTGTACGCGCGATTCCCCTAACCGACGTTGAGGCGGAGAGTTGTGGAGAGGATGAAGACTAACATGCAATATAGGGGTGCCAACTCCCGGCCCAAGCACCACCTCGACCACCTCCTTGAGCAGCTCATCTACTCCAGTTGCGCCGACGAGCACTGTCACAATCCCGGCTGAGGTCCCTACACCGATTGCCCAAACTTGCCCAACGCCAGGCACTTACACATTCCCGGCCACAACTCTCACCCTGACCGAGACCACCACAGTGTGCGGCGCTTCCACCACCACCGTCCCCTCCGGAACTCACACCCTCGGAGGTGTCACAACCGTCGTCACAACCGCCACGACCGTTGTCTGCCCGTACGCTACCACAAAGGTCACCAGCGGCGTTGTTACCAGCGTCATTGAGACCACCACCTATGTCTGCCCCTCCGCCGGCACCTACACCATCGGCCCCATTACGGAGACGGTCACCGCCACCGAGACTGTTGTCGTTGTCCCGGTTGTCGAGACTTACTGCCCCGGCACTTACACTGCCCCGGCTGTCACCACCGTCGTGACCACTCAGACCGTTGTCTACTGCCCATACACCAGCTCTGCTGCCCCGACTCTGGCCACCAGCGTCCCGACCACTGCTGCTCCTGTTGAGGCTTCTCCCACCGAGACCAAGGCTGCTGAGACCTCACCCGCTGCTACGTACAGCGGTGGCGGCAAGGCTATTGCCTACACCCCTTACACCGCTGATGAGGGTCTGTGCAAGTCTGCTGAGGAGGTCGATGCCGATATCGCCAAGATCGCCAAGGCTGGATTCGGCCAAGTTCGTACCTACTCGACTGACTGCGACACCCTGCCCAACGTCGGTGCTGCCTGCGAGAAGTATGGCATCAAGATGGTTGTCGGTATCTTCATTGGCCAGGCCGGTTGCACCAATGCTTCTCCCGATGTCGAGGAGCAGATTTCCGCCCTGAAGTCATGGAAGAAGTGGGATATCGTTCCTCTGGTCGTTGTCGCCAACGAGGCTCTGTTCCAGGGTCACTGCACTGTCAGCGAGTTGTCTGCCTTGATCACCCATGTCAAGTCTGAGCTTGGCTCCGCAGGTTACACTGGAGCTTACACCACTACTGACACTGTCGGCGCTTGGATCCAGGCCGGCGTCTCTGACGCCATCTGCGACCTCGTCGACATTGTGGCTATCAACGCCTACCCTTACTTCGCTGGTAACGTCTTCGCTAGCGCAGCTGGTGAGTTCGTTGCTAGTCAGCTCGACATTGTCGAGACACTCTGCGGCAAGGATGGTCTCGTCCTCGAGTGTGGTCACCCCTCCGAGGGCAAGTGCTACGGCGACCTGTGCGGTTCCAAGGAGGAACAGAAGGAGGTTATTGGTTCCATCATCGACAAGCTGGGCGACAAGGTGACTATCCTTGGATTCACCAACGACAAGTGGAAGGCACCAGGTGACTGCGGCTGTGAGCAGCACTGGGGCTGTGGTGACCTGTTCGGATTCTAAGTCCCTTTCTCATCAAATTCACGGCCTATCCGCCTACAGGGCCCATCAGGCACAAAATGATCTGACTAGAGCGAAACTTTCAATGACTACGAGACCGCAAGGTCTTCTGATGACGCCTGAGGGGTTTCCTGTCCTACCAAGGGTGACCGAGAAAGATAGGAGAAATATCAATTGAGAAGAAGATTTAGGTGGCTTTTGCATATATGTGTCTCGCCCTCCCCCTTTCCCTGGGTGGGGGCACCTGATGACGACCTGGCCTGTTCAATATTTTCTTGGGTGCAAAAACCGGGTACTGTGAATTAGCATCTGATTCATAATGTTGTAATTATTTAGTGTCTATTATGAATCCAGCTGTCTGCTTGATTTCTGTATGTCTCCCTGTTTGCCGTCCGATGCTTGTGATACCGTGTTGCTCTATTCTTCTATATAGGCAAGAGTCGCTTTTCGCCGCCCATTCGCTGTCTGTAACCCCAAACGAGGACCCAATGCTGGTGCTCTTATAGCTCGGTCATCTTCTATGCCGGGAGCGCTCAAGATCCTGGGGAAAGGGGCAATGCCAGCATCCCTCTGCGTTGGACTAGTCGCTGGTCGTCTAGTCGTGCCGAATCCTGAGCAACGGAGCCAGAACAGCAACGCTCAGCCAACTCTGCATTGATCTATAATGTCCTCTCGTGGTGAAGTCGGATGCAGAGGCTGCATGCTTAACCAGCCATGTCAATCTCCCGCTTGTGGGCCATGCGTTGTCGCTCAAGATACGCATTGCTTCCCCTACGCAAGGTTTCTATTGGAGAAACACACCAACGTCGAGCATTTTGTTATTTTAGAAACGAACCATGAAACTGCTTCTCTAGAAATGACCGTGCGTGTAGACTATCCATAGTTGGCGAAGTCCTTGCAGCTTTCGAAGCTATATATGAGGATCTCTTGTCCTACACCAACCATGTCACGGTCAAAAATTCGCAGTCAGGACAAAGACGACAAGACTTGCCAGGAACCTCCAGATCAACGGAGCAGATTATTATTTTGTACTATGTACAACTGTGTGTTTTTAAAAAGGATTTCTGTATAAACGCCGAGTGCGCACGGGCGGGCAACAAAGAAAGCAGCAGGCTCGATTAAAGCCCTCCGCTCCAGCCCATCCTCGTGACATGCAAATGCAATGGAGCCCCAAAAACCAGACACGATGAGTTAAGGAGACCCTCGGACAAGGAGAGAGGGAAAGTCTCCCCTGACAAATTCCCGAATTTTCCAACCCGAGCCAATGATTTTCTGAGAGAAGACGGCCACCAAATCCAGCCGGAAAGACAGAGAGATGTCGGGAGTCGCGCAATAAACGACTAAAAGGATTAAGCAGGAGGTATCTGTGCACTCCGACTGCAGTCAAACACTATGCAAGCAATAACTCGGTCCGTATCCAAGATGTGAAGTGTACTCGACGTTCTGGGGGGTTGAAACAGTCCACCAAAGCACTAGGAGATCAATGCGTTGTCGTCTTCGTTCGTCGTGCATTCATCACATTATAACGCAGTTCTCGTCCTTCTCTGCACCGGTCTTCTTGATTTTGCCATTACGTGGAGGAGCAACCTCCATCGGCGTGCCGCCACTGATTGCTGCGCGAATAGCAGCAAGTCGTTGTTTGGCACGCTCGTCCCCAGCATCTGCTGCCTTTACGTACCAGACGTTGGCTTCCAGGATATCCCTTCGACAGCCAATGCCCATTTCAGTGAAATAGCCAACAGCATACTCTGCCTTGACATATCCTGTGTCTAGTTAGCAATTGCATGTTTCTCTTTGGGGGTTACAGGATGATAGAAGTATTTTGAAGTACTTGAAGACGGGGAAGGGGAGAATCTTACCTAGCTCTGCGGACCGGCGGGCCCACTCATAAGCTTCCTCTTCATCCTTCTCCAAGATAGGCTCTGCTCCAACCATGTACCAGGCACAAAGACCCATCATGGCAGCGGCATGACCCCGTTCGGCAGCTCCCGTGTAGAAATGAACGCTGAGTGCTGGATCTCTGGGACAGTTTAACTTTCCGTGTTCATAGGCATCGCCCATGCGGTAATTGGCTTCCGGATGGCCGAGATCCGCAGCCTGCGTGAACAACTCGGCAGCGTAGCTTTCGTCTTTGAAGATGTCATCACCATAGCCTGTTTCGTACAAGCACCCGAGATGATATGGAGCCGCGTTATAGATCGTATCAGCTGACTCGGTCGCAAGCTTGAGCCACTTGATGCCCTCCCTGTACCGCTTCTCGCCCAGATCTCCAGACAAGCAAGCCTTTCCTAACCTAGTCATGGCGCCAGGATGTCTTTTGGAAGCAGCAGTTCGCAAGAACTGGACAGCTTTTGCGGGGTCTTTCCGACAGCCCCAGCCGAACTCGTAACACAAGCCGGTCCGATATGCAGACTCCGCGTGACCGTGCTTGGCGGCGAGAACAAACAGGGGGAACGCGGAGTTGTAGTCCTCCTTCCCTTTGCTGAACAGCCCAGAAGCGTATCCATCTGCAAGATAATACTGCGCGAAGGGATATCCAGCATTGGCGAGCTTTTGCAATATGGCGCGCGCCTCCCGCACCAAGTCATGTGGCGACGCAGTTGAACCTTCCACATAAGGACTTTCATGATCTCTTAGAGGTTTCGGACTTGGTTTCCTCTTAACATCATCAAAGTTCAAGCCTTGTTCTTGAGCAGTGGAAATCAGAAATACGGCAAAGGAATACTGAATGGAGAAATCGTTGGTTTTCTTCACATTCTGCCTGTACATCTCCAAAGTTTTCTGGGAGCTCAGAAGGGAGGCATTGGACCCAACGGCGTTGCGTAATTGGGAATTGTCGAAGCTGATGGGTGCTGGAGCAGGTTGCGGATAGGGAACGTTGAGTAATTCAGCGTAGGAGGAGGGCCGCGTATCTGGTGACTTCCGTGAATGCGCAGACGGGGCACGCGCTTGGGAGTTGCCATATAAACCGGGAGAGCGACCACGTGGGCCGAAATCCGAGAATACAGAGTAGGATGACTGAGGGCGAGGTAAGGAAGTCCGCCTGCCAACATAGTAGGAGGTTGGTGTGAGATGGCGGTTGATAGCAGCGCCATGGTCGATCAAGTCAGGAGTTGAGGCTATCCTGGGATCCTGATCTTGAACCAAGCTCCGTGTTCTCGGGAGGAAAGATTGGTGGTGATATTGAAGTTGTGGTACCGAGTGATTATGCGGTAGCCCCTCTTCGATGATCGAGCTTTCGAGAGAATCCTCCTCCGAAATCTTCTGACTGTCCCCTGCCTCATTGGTCCCAGAGACTGAGCTAGCACTTGTCGTCGCGGATGACTCGTTTGAAGCTTGCTGTTGCGAGGTACTGGCGGTAGTGTTGGTGGTGTCGGTGTCCCGGCTATGCCGATTCTCGTCTTGAGCCCGAGGCAAGCTGACGTTGTCTGGGTCTAGACTGAGGCTATCTTGTCCTAGAGAGCCCTGAGAGAACGATATGTCTAGACCGTGACTCGGGCTCGCACTGGCGGGACTTAATAGGTTATTCTGTGTGGACTCCGCCGGCGCCGTGTCCAACGGTGGGAGCAGCTTGATGGTCGCAGTCGCGGCTTGCCGCGTCATGCTCGATTGCCGGGTTTGTTCATATCTTGGACTGTGTGGTGGAGGCGCTGGAGCATCAGGAGTCTTGGGCAGTTCCCGGTCGAGGGAGTTGGACGCGCGGTGCGGCTCCACATAGGACTCCCTCGTCTCAATGGTTGCGCTCGAAGGCTGTGCCCAGTTTTCCGGCTGGAAGTTGACCCTCACCGGGGAGACCGGAGCTTGGCCCACCCGTGACGATTGGGGTATGGGCACGGTAGGCAACGGCTTGCCGTCGTGACTCCAGTCAGAGCGTTCCGGGGAGAGGCTCGGCAGAGGTTTTCGTCGGATGGGGTTGGAAGCAGCGGAGGAGGACCGCGGCGGTGAGGCTTCTACGCTCGCCATCGTGGATGTGAATGGGGAAATGTCTCGATGGCGTCCTACGAGGACAGACCTCGCCGACAGCAGCAGGCCTCGCCGCCGGTGTAGGGGATGTCGTCTAGTTCGGAGGAGTGCTGGTTGTGCACTGGGTTATGCTGAAAGTGGCCCCCTCGCATGCATTGGAGCTTGTAGCTCTCTTTCTTATTTCCGTGTGCTCGGAAGAAGAGTGTATGCGTCGATTGTGAGCCGTAGAGGCCGACGAAGATAATACAGCTGTCGAAAGAGGCTGTCTGGACGAGCAGCGAGCGAGCGATTGTCGTGGAAAGAATGTATTGCGTCTTGAAACAGCGGATAATTCTAATTGCGGAATCGTGCGGTTAGAGGAGCTGCTGTCTATTTTCAACAAAAAGAGAACCCGGTCGGCCGGTCGATCGAGAGAGTTAAAAAGTAAAATCTGTTGCCTGGAAACTGAAGATGAGAGAGTATACGACGTAGAAGTCTTGCGAAAAAAAGAGCTGAGCGAGCGTCGGTCACACACGTAGGGCAGGAGAATAGCTACGTGCGAGGGTGAGTGAGTGGACTTGAGGAGGGAGCGGAGGGTTGAGGGTAGGTAGGTAGGTCGAGGTGCATGCAGTGCTGCTGCTCTGCTGCTGGGCAGGAAAGGGAACTAACTGCAGGCCAAGGCCAGGGCATGGCCATGTACCGGTACCTCGAGGTGAGGCAGACTGAGAGTCCAGGGCCCAAGTTTCCAGCGTTGCGCTTGGGGAAGGCGCCAGCCAGCCTCGAGACTCCAACCTCGTGTAGCTCATACGTAAGGGCAAACAAACATGGAACGGGTACCTAGCACTACTACGTGCACTAGCAGGTACGTCTCTGCTCCTCTAGCATCATCCATAAACTGCTCGACTTCTACGACTAGCAATGTCCAGTCTGTTGTGTGTCTGTGTGCCGACCGCCCGGACATATGCACAATCGCCTCTACTTGTGTAGTACCTAGCAATTCACGATGGAGCTAAATACTGGTAGACCGTTTTGCTGTGGCATGCGGCGGGCAATGAAACCTTAGTCAGTCAGCCAGCCAGTCAGTCAGGACGGGACTAATATACGTCGGCAGGTATCGACACGCAAAGGCATGCATCTCTGCACATCCACATCTACAGTGCAGGCATCTCTCTGCCTCTGTTCGATTCATCGACAGAGCAACGAGGCTGATCACGATGGAACGGCGTCGCACAACAGAGCCAAAAAAGATCCTTATGGCAGCAAGCTGCACATTCGGGACACGATGACGGCAGCACAAGATACCTGTTCCCAGTAAAACACAAGCCACATATACGACGCAATACAGCAACTACCGTACCTCTTTTACCGCTCGCTCGGAACCACCGCCCTTCCACCAAACTTTACAAAGTTTGGTCTTCGGGGGGTTCTGTGTCGGCGCGACGATCGGGTAGTGCCTCGTCCACTACCGCACAAAGAAAGGTACTAGCTCCAATACTTCCCCGATAATTGTCGGGCCGTGAAAGTGTGTCCTTTGTTCCTGTCCCTGATGCTGTTCCTGTTCTCCCGCGCAGTCGTTTTAAGCTTTTGGTTGGAAAAGGCATACATCGAAACCTCTCGACTCAAGAGCCGCCCGCATACAGAAGCTGAGCAATCGTCTAAACGGTGTTAGTGTGTAGCGTAAGCTCCAATGACCTCAGGTGATCGATTCTACTCGGAAAACATGCATGATGCTGTGGAGGGTCAGGAAAATTTCATACACTAGGGGACCAAGTGTAGTGTGAGGTAGTGCAGAAGATCCTCCCGCAGAAGCCGCTCAAGCTATTATGGACATAAAAAGCACCCATCTCGTTTCCACCGCTCAAATTTAGAACTGTCACAAATGGCGCTAGGCGCCTTGGGTCAGTCGGTATACGAGAGGTACCAGTACTCCCGCCGCCCACGGCTCCCCTCCATTTCGTTGCCCAGATGGATGATGGACGACGAACTAGCCTTTTGACCCTCTCCTGAGCGCCAGCCAGCGTCAGACCGAGCGAGTGCGCAAAGAACTACTGTGGTATGGCGCGATGCGCTGCCCAGGCTTGTAAGTGGCTGCTACATTCTGCGGTCGATCCCTCATCTTGCAACCCCTGCTCGCAGGCGACCATCAAGGGTCCATTCAGGAAAAGGGAGCCCTGACGTGCTGTTCTCGAGCAATGGAATCATCGGCTTCATTCTTACAAGTCATCTCTCCCTCTCCGACTCTAACAAGAGGATGACCTCGCCGGATGCTCGCAAGGTGTGAACTACCGAGATGGCCTATGCCGAGCGTGGTATAACAGGAGAGACATCTTCATTTCTGGAACCGCAATTCCAGAGCTCATCTGTATCAAACCCGACCATGTCAGGAATTCCACATCCCTTTGGCTCAAACTTGGCAGGACCACGACGGCACCAACGTTAATCCGACTGCAGAAACTGGGAATGCTGGCCACAACCCCTGCTTAGGATTGATGAGAGTGCCAATACATATGACGACTAAAGGGATGTGTTACTGCTCATATGCCCTTGAAAAGCTTGGACAGGTGCCCCAAGCGCATAGCTTCACAAATTCGATTCTAAAGTCCCTAGAAATGCCTTCTTTGTCCATAAAAGCACGCTACTCGTGGATGCTTGGCCATTGCCAGCCCGGCCTAGCTGTTCAGCGCCCCATAAGACTCGCTTGCCCACAGCTCCCGTTGGCTCTGATCAACGCCAAAAATTGGGACGGGAGAAAGGAGTCGGGTGCTCTACAAGGCGTACTGCGTACGCGCGGAAAAGGCTAAGGAAAAGGTAGAGTATACGCCAGGGCAGATCGGTTGACTCCCAATTGAAGGATCCTACGGATTCCGGCAACACCAAAGCTCGTACAACATATGACTGTCACCGACTTTTGAAGAAAGATACCCTGTCGCCAGCGTCCCATCACGAGGTTGGGCGATGGATGAATTCCTTGATGGGGTTGAATGTGCATGTGTGCGCTACGGTACGGCGGGGTTCTGTGCCTCATGTGCTTCTAAAACGCCGTACGGAATATGGCTTGGAAGCCTTGGCCCCTTGAAGATCTCCTTGCAAATACTACACTACCCTTCTTTCGGTCAGCAGTACGAGCCCTGGTACCGTTCATTTTCGACCCGCCTATCCCTTTTTCTCTTTCTTCGAGGCCAGGACACTAGCAAAAAACACGAATGGAAGACGACTTGGTGTTAACCTCCTGGCCAGAAGTATTTTCTCTTGTGCCACATTCCCCGACCCACGTCAGAACCAGCAAAAGAAATCGGAGGAGTACCGATTTGTGCAGAGGTGCATATGTCGTGTTAGGTCGGCCGCAGCAGCCCTGGAGGTCCCTTTCTTCTGCAGCCGCCCAATGAGGAAATCCTAAGTGGCGTTCACGGCTAACGGTTGGTGGAGGCGCCCGTACCCTGGCTCCCTGGCTCCCCTCGTAGAGTAAATTATTTGAAAATACCCTGCGTGCGTTTCTGCTCTGCTCACCCCGCAAGTCTACCCTTGCGGCCTCAGCTCAGCAGGAGATTATTTACGGAGAGAAAGAAGAGTCCGCGCTCATTAGCTCGAGGACGTTTCGGCAGTGTCATCTAAACTGCTCCCTGCGATCATCTCCCTCGAATGGCGAATGGATCTCTCTAGCAAAGATTTCCCTCTAAAGTGGGATGCATTTGACAACAGTTGACGTGGGATGACGAGAATTCTGAGGAGTCCAGTGGAGTTAGCAGTACAACTGACTCGCAGCCTCACTGGGAAGATCAAAAGTGAACATTGCGGAAGAGAGGCATGCCGGACAGCGAGTTCTCTCAACGAAAGCCACATGTACCGGAACGTGCGGGTACATCTACATCTGAGCGGCCACGCTTTCATAGCGTCTTCGTATTTCGATATGACGGACCGGCCGTACCTGCCTAGTCCCTCGGAGCCAATCGTAGCGCAGAATCTCTAGGACTAAGTGAAGAAGCATTCTGAGAGCTGAGTCTTGTGCGTTTCATGTTTTGATGCTCACAATCTCTCCCCAGGCGCCGCGCGCGATACACGTGCTGAAGGACCCATAACGACTGTCGAGCCATATATCCATAGTGAAGGCGGATTGCATGGATGTTTCATAGAAGCCATGTCGTCATGTCTGCCTTCGATGATTTGGCTTGAGCCGCAACGGCCGATTCATAAATAGTTATGATCAACTAGCTCTACCGACTATCCAGCCGAGCCAGCCTCAAAGAACGGCTCTTTCATACCAAGACATTGTGATCTTATGACGCGGGTGGTCGTAGTCTATCAGTGTGACCGGGAAACAGGCGATGGAGGGAATGCTTTTCTTGCAGATCGGAATCTTTCGAACCAAGAGGCGGTCTCACATATCAGCCTCCCTACCGGGACAAGATGTCTCCTCACACCGGGTGAAGTGTAGATATAATCTGGCGCCAACTCCTGGCTGACGTCAATTCTGCACTCAGCTCACTGTGGTCTAATTTCTTAGAGCCAGCCTTCGTGTTATTGCTTGGATGAGTCTTACTTCTGGGTTGTATCTACATTTTCTGTATTGGCTACCTGACCCGCGGGAGCACACCTTGTGGAAGTTTGGAGATCTGTGAACGAGTACCTCACTTTTTGAAATATTACCACATGTCTTACCAGTAGGACTCTTTGCCTCACTCGATACCTCCTGAGCATACGTTAAAGGCAGCCACGCTGGCATATTCTCACTGACCGGGCTTAGGATTCATGGACGGGTTCACTATTCGGAAGACAGCTTCTGAAACTGGAAGAGAGGTTTGTTTTTCGGAGCCCTCAAAAAGGAAAGCCTGCATTCATCTGAGAACCGCGTCATTGAGTTCCTTTGAGGCTTTAGTATTGGTCTGATGCCGTCTCATAAAAATGGCTGAATACGGAAGAGAGTGTGCGCTGCTGCTTGATCTGCAATAACACTGGTGTAGTAAGCGTTCCTAGGCTTCGTGTAAGTCTGGTTGGATTCGCTGCTTGGCCCGCTACTGGTACATGCACGGCGGGAAGAGGCAGGTTTATATTAACCCCGCGCATCTGTGACAAAGCCGACGACAGCGTTCGAAAGACGGAGCCAAGACGATGCTTCCACTTTTGTGCGCTACCAGATCTTGATCTTGATGTCGTGGGCCACTTCTGGGTGAATGCACCACAGAGAGGTCTGTTCTGGCTTCTGACAGGGCAGCCTCTCGTAGTCGGAGATGGGTACGCGCATGCATGACTGCAAAACGTAGGTGGCCGAGACAGGGCCCAAAGCCACGCTCGCCACGGTCGGCAAGATCCAGCCTAGAAGCTGAGCAAGCAGTGCAGATAAGGTGAGGCGGGCCACTGACAGGAAGGGCCTCCTTGTTCAGAGCGAGGTTGACGTCCCATTGGAATGCTGGATGCATGCCATTGCCCTCGGAAAGACGCGCTCCTTTCCGCATACACCCACGCGCCCATCAAGGATCGGATTGTGGCTATAGAAAGTTTAAGTTTACAAAAGGGCTGGGGGGATAGCAACACCAACACGAGCCTCGACCCAAGGGGCTGGCCAACAAGCGCACACATGATGAATGAAAGGCAACGAGGGCTCGTCCAGGGGCTCTGATGTCAGCGCCCACACTACTGTGTACCTAAGGTCACCTAACCTCCCCCTTCAGTAGGGGGGTTCGTATGCGTATGAGAGACGCAAGCAAAGTAGCGTCATGGTGCCTGGTACCTTTACCCCAGCTTTGCGCTTGCAAGAGCCTGTCGACGGGCCAACAATGGGGCGATCGTGTCCGAAATAGAAGCTCGACGGCGTGGCTGATCGCACAAGGCCTCGGGAGTCTGGCTGGTCGAAGTATCTTTGATGAAGGTGCCATAGTTGTCAGGGAGAATCAGTAGCAGGAGATACTTCCGCGATCTCAATTAGCTTGGCTCGCCCTGCATGGTTAGCGCCACTGTGAGTGCAGGCCCGGTACTGGATACTTGTTTATGCGTCGCTATACGAAAAATTGGTGTAAAAACATGGAAATGGCACGGGGCCTGCTAACGTTACTGCGCTGCGTAGCACCGTATAGGGGGGCCAAGGGCAAAAAGGATGGGGCACCGCAGCACATACTGGCACTATACTGTAGCTCCCAAGGAAGGTAGGGAGACCCGGGCAGGAAGGAAAAAAGAACCTGCTTTGCAGCATGCACCGCGCCTTCCTTTTCATCCACCACCAACGCACGCCGATTTCCACAGCGACGACGCTTGGAAAGGAGAGCCATTCCCTAACAACATCATCATCACAATCACCCTCGCTCGTTTCCCGTCTCGTTTCCCTTTTTCGTCTGTCAGTCGATCGCTTCATCTTTCTCCGCATTCAACTATTGTCTTCTTTCCTGGGGATATCCATTCAATAGTTGCAACACTGGGCGTTGCTGGGCTATTTTGACGCCAGTGCCTGCCACTACTGTGCTGCATTGACTACCACTACCGAACCGCCGATTTCCAAGCCCATCCTACGAAACACCGCAAGTCTGCTCCTCTTGCAGCCTGCCTGGCAGTGATCGATCTAGCCGCTGAAAACACAACCTTTCGGTCGGTTGCCCTCTGAAACCGCCTGTTCAACTCAGCCGCCTCACCTGCGGCATCTTCGCGGTCGAGCCTGACATTTGCTGTGTCTCCAGGTGATACTATATTACGCCGCCGGGCTGCATCCACCGCATTACCGATGAAGGCTTGAGAGGGGATCAGGGCTGGAACGCTATACCTTCGTGACCAGGTGCAGAACTTGGAAGCGGGAGTGACTACCGGCCTTTGGGGGTACCAGCTCAGCCTCCGTCTGCAACCCTCTCGGCCCAATTGCCTCCTGTATTCGTTGGCGCCGGTGCTCTGCAGCAGCGCCATAACATCACCTAAGGGAACCCCTCGCTATACCAGGGATTGCCAATATATCCACAGTTACTGTCGTTACGGTGGCTTCCTCGCCATAACACACCTTTTCTGTAAGTCTCAAGTTCTCAACACCAAAAAGGTCAGGTTGTCAGTCGTTTCGTTGCACTGTGCCTGAGCCAAACACTTTCGTTTTCCAAACCCCCATCGTCTCTCTACTGCGTTTGCCCAAAACAAGCCGTGCACGGTCGACAAAAGTGCCCTGACGCGACAAGAGTTTTCCGCTCCTTTCTTCCCGAGAGGGTGAAGTCCCCATTCTTCTCGACGTACTACCGTCTTTAAACAAGACCTTGACTGACCACTGCGAGTTCAGGACAATGTCTCTCCCCGAGCGACCTGGTGCAAACCCCTCCTACGACCGAAATGCCTACCGATCGTCTCCGTCACGGCGACGGCAGGCTGATGTCGAGGCAGGAGGGTATCACCCAGTAACTGGGCAGGGTCATCAACGTGCGCCTTCAACGAGCTCTTTCGCCGAGACGATTCAGTCTCCTAACGGAAATGTAGAGAGGATGCCTTTATCGCCACCCCCGAACGAGCCTCTGACCCCGTCAGACCAGCCTTTTCAGCGAAAGCGCAGTCTCATTCGACCTGAGAGGAACAGAATTGGAAAAGACCACCCAAACTACCATTACCGAAAGCATGCTGCAAAAATGAACGTTCTGCCGTCTTCAACCGGCAACGACCCCATTTTTGAGGATCTTGAGGGCACCACCGACATCTCCGGATCTCATGCTGGTGACGCCATCTCAGATACTTCACCATCAAGGGATTTCCCGAGCAGATCGAATAGTGGCGAAGCTGAAAAATCAGGAGCCAGGCGTAGGGTTTCCCGAAGGACGAGTCAGGGTGGGAAAATTAAGAAGAGAGAACACAAGAAGCCAAAAGAGATCGAGGTCATACGGCCTCCGAACTTTTGGAATGTCTACTGCGCCATCGTCACCTTTTGGTGTCCTGATTTCGTCCTAAAGTGTTTTGGCAAGTCGTCAAAAGCACAAGCAAGGGCCTGGAGAGAGAAAATGGGCCTGATCAGCATTATTTTGTTCATCATGGGTGTCGTTGGTTTCCTGACATTCGGATTCACACAAGCTGTTTGCAGTACACCCCCGTTGAAGCTGCGAGTCAACAAAGTGGACACTGGTTACATGATTTTCCATGGCACCGCCTACGACCTGACTAACTCCCACCATCCTGCTGCTGAAGGAATCCCGAAACGTCTTGATGGATCCGGCGCGAACGTACTTTACGACTTGCCTGAGAAACACGGCGGCCAAGACGGCAGCTTCCTCTTCCAAAACGTCAATGGCAAATGCAAGGGACTCATCACCCTGGCAGAGGGCTCCGACGTTCCGACAGATTCAGACGATAACTTGGCATGGTATTTCCCGTGCAAGCCTTTCAACCAGGACGGGTCGACTGAACCCAACAAGACTTTTGAATACTACCTCGGCTACGCATGTCATACCACAGTCGCGTCTCGCGATACTTTCTATCTGCAATTGAACGGCGCTGCTGATGTTTATTTCACTTGGGATGATATCAAGAACAGCTCTCGTAACCTCATAGTGTATTCCGGCAACGTCCTTGACCTAAACTTGTTGAACTGGTTCAACGACAGCCAGGTCGCTTATCCTGATCGTTTCAAGGAATTGAGGGACACAAGCACAGCTGCCAACCAGGCAATTCGCGGCCGCGATATTACGCATTCTTTCCAGTCTTCTGAAGATAAACATCTGGCTCAGTGTTTGGAACAAATCGTCAAGGTTGGAACAGTGGACTCAGAGACCGTTGGTTGTATTGCATCCAAGGTTGTCCTCTACCTGTCCCTTGTTCTCATCCTGTCGATCGTGGTGGCCCGCTTTGTGCTGGCCTTGGTCTTCCAATGGTTCATCAGTAAGACATATGCCGCCGCTAAGACTTCACAAACGGCCGATAAGAGGAAGCGTAACCGTCAGATCGAGGACTGGACTGAGGATATCTACCGTGCTCCGCCTCGATTCCCTGGGGATGTGGGTAGCAGTGTTGCTGGTGCATCTTCAGACCGCACAAGCAAGCGTGCTAGTACATTCTTGCCTACCACGTCTCGGTTCTCAGCTGTCTATGGTTCAGAGAGGAACTCTCGACGACCTGGAATGCCTACGACCATGGCAAGCCAGGCGTCTGGCGCGCAACTCCTCCATCCCAACTCAATGTACCCTCAAGGCAACGATAGTCGAAGCAGTTTCTTGCGGTCTGACCCATATGCCGCTAGCACTGCCAGCCCAACTGATGGACCCGGCCCAGCTGGCTTCATCCATGAAGCCGTCGTGCCTCAACCTCCCTCGGATTGGATGCCGTTTGGTTTCCCTCTGGCTCATTCCATCTGTCTTGTTACCGCCTACTCTGAGGGTGAACTTGGTATACGCACTACCCTTGATTCGATCGCCATGACAGATTATCCCAATAGCCACAAGGTCATCCTAGTTATTTGCGACGGTATCATCAAGGGCAAGGGTGAGAGTATGTCTACTCCTGATTACGTGCTTGGCATGATGAAGGACCATACAATTCTTCCCGAAGAGGTCGAGGCTTTCTCTTATGTGGCCGTGGCCAGTGGTTCCAAGCGTCACAACATGGCCAAGATCTATGCTGGATTTTATGACTACGGCGCTAAGTCCGCCATTCCCCTTGAGAAGCAGCAGAGGGTGCCGATGATGGTTGTCGTCAAGTGTGGCACACCCGATGAGCATACCAAGTCGAAGCCTGGAAACCGAGGCAAGCGTGACAGTCAGATCATCCTCATGTCCTTCCTCCAGAAGGTGATGTTCGACGAGCGCATGACGGAACTGGAATACGAGATGTTCAATGGCTTGTGGAAGGTCACTGGAATATCGCCGGATTTCTACGAAACTGTTCTCATGGTGGACGCCGATACCAAGGTTTTCCCGGACAGTCTCACTCACATGATCTCTGCAATGGTCAAGGATCCTGAGATCATGGGTCTTTGCGGTGAGACAAAGATCGCCAACAAACGCCAGAGCTGGGTTTCCGCCATTCAGGTGTTCGAATATTTCATCTCTCACCATCAATCGAAGTCTTTCGAGTCTGTTTTCGGTGGTGTTACTTGTCTTCCTGGCTGTTTCTGCATGTACCGCATCAAGGCGCCAAAGGGTGCACAGAACTACTGGGTTCCTATTCTCGCGAATCCCGACGTTGTTGAGCACTACTCGGAGAATGTCGTCGATACCCTGCATAAAAAGAACCTGCTGCTCCTCGGTGAGGATCGTTACCTAACGACTCTTATGCTCCGCACTTTCCCCAAGCGTAAGCAAGTTTTCGTGCCCCAGGCGGTGTGCAAGACCACGGTCCCAGATACCTTTAGTGTTTTGCTGTCCCAGAGACGACGATGGATCAACTCAACCATTCACAACCTGATGGAGCTGGTCCTTGTGCGAGATCTCTGTGGTACCTTCTGTTTCAGTATGCAGTTTGTCATCTTCATCGACTTGATCGGTACACTTGTGCTGCCAGCTGCAATCGCGTTCACATTCTATGTTGGTAAGTATTGATTATCTCCAATATTGCTTGTTTGACGCTAACTGTTCCTAGTTATCATCTCAATTGTCAATTCTCCGCCACAGATCATTCCCCTTGTTCTGCTTGGACTGATCCTGGGTCTGCCTGCTGTCTTGATCGTAGTGACTGCGCACTCCTGGTCTTATGTGGTCTGGATGCTCATTTACTTGATCTCTCTCCCTATCTGGAACTTTGTCCTCCCGATGTACGCTTTCTGGAAGTTCGATGACTTCTCCTGGGGCGACACGAGGAAGACTGCTGGAGAAAAGACGAAGAAGGCCGGCATAGAGTACGAGGGCGAGTTTGACAGCAGCAAGATTACGATGAAGAGATGGGCTGAGTTTGAGCGTGACCGAAGGACGAGAGCCCAGTACTGGGGCTCTCGAGAGAGTGTTGTTGGCGGCCACCACAGCAATAGCAGCCAAGTGTGGTCGATGCCACCTGGACACCAGCACTACGACGAGTATTATTCGGATGCTTAGGCGAATGGTCTAATATCAGTAGCATCAGCGGTTGGAGAAAATGGAATATCATTATTATCGGTTGTAATATGGGCGGTCTTGTTTTGGTATTTGTCCCCAGGCTCTTGGGTTCCAACGCCTCGTGTGGACTGTTTTTGGCGCGTCTGCTGGTCTCCCAAAGATAAAGGTGGTGGCATATGGAAGGCGTAACACAATGTCTATTAATTCACACTGCACTGTACATAGCCGCCAGCACCTAGCTAGAATAATATTATCCACTGTCATTTTGGACACGAGTATATCGCAGACATGCAAAACCACAAGCGATGATGTTAGCGGCAGTCTCCTGGGTCTACGAGAGGTCCTTGCACCTATCCGAGGAGTCGGACCTAGATCCGCCATGCTTGTCTGGACTCGGTCAAGACACTCGCGGGTGGATCTTCCCCAGGGCCCTCTCTGCTTGGCTCGATGGGTCTCTCACAGGCGGCCAGAGAGGCAAATGGGACAGGGTTCGGGGCGGCGGTGGCCTCCGAGTGGTTTGCTCGCTTAGTTGCTTGCTGGTACGCTTTGGCGATGGACGGGGCGGGCCCCAAGAAACGAAAACAAGAAGAACAAGGAAAGACGGCTGGCCCGTCCTCGAGAGAGCCTGTCTCGCGCGGCAAGTGGCCGACTGGAACGGGTAAGGATCTATACCCAAGTAGGCAGCAGGATGGGTAACACAAAATGCGGAAGTTCGTCCAGCAGCAGCAGTCACCCTCCCGGCCAGCAGCGGGTGTGGGGGGCGTTCTCTTTGGGGCGTTGGGCTGGCCAGGAGGTGGTGACACTCATATTTCGGACGCCTCTTTCTTTGTCCCTTGGCTCGAGTCTATTGTGTTTTCTGCTGTGCCTTGTTTACTCGAGGCTGGCCTTGAGAGATGCTGCTGGCAGGGGCGGTGAGGGACAGACCGGCTCCGTAGATGAGTCCTGGAAACGAGCGTGAGCAGGGGACAAGACATCAGTTCGCCTTGCTCATGTCAGTGGGCTGGTCATGGACAAGGAACGCGGGAATTGTGAGGGCTGACGAGGGGCCAAGGGCCCTTCCTCTCCATCCTTTCTCACTCAGGGTCGAGATGCAACACAGTAAGAGTAAGAGTAGGTAATAATAAGGCCTCGTCTTCTTGTGACTCCTGGCTCACAGGGCTGTTGCTGAGCTGTCATAATCGACAGGCCGAGCCTTGTGCTGCTGGGTGGGGAGCCCTTCGGCTAATTGACCAGACAATCTGACAGCCTACCAAATGGGCAGTTCGGGCCTTCATAGGACCTGTACATGTCTCTACTGTTCTGGCGAGAGAGCGCGATAATGAGAGCACGGTCGAATGGCTCGGGAAGCTGACATGTCCTGACATGTCCTGACACGTAACTGTACGGAACTGGTCGAGGACTGCTTTCCGATAGGTGTCCCTACGGACGTGCATCTGGTTGGAGATAATAGAGAAAAGCGATTACTGTCGACTTCGTCCGAGTATGGCGTCCGTCAGGGAAAAAGAGAGAGGGAGAGCAGGAGATGACGGCGGACGGGTGGTGAATATGACTTATCACATTGTGTTTTGCCAGAGCGTATTATTATACCTCACTCACTCACTCGTGGTCGGGGCGGGGGGCCCACCAACGGCGGCGGAGAATGGACGATGGAGGAGCGGGCCTGTGTTGCGACTCACCGTGTGCTGGAAACGGAAGTTCTGAATCAACGCAGGAGACAGCTCACATTGTGTGTATGTGTGTATGTATGTATGTGTTTGAGTGATGACGGTAGGTATCATGCCTCGAGCTTGCCCAGGTATCTTTCAGCAATAGACAGAAAGAGAGGGGCTTCTCAGTAAACACTTGTCTGGCTGTTTACATAGGTTTGCCCGTGATGCCTGTGATTATTTCCGGGTCTCTCATACGGGCATTACTGAGGGCAGATTTTCCGGCTGAAGAGATTCCCAGACATTGCGCAGAAACTGGGTAGTACAGAGGTGTAAGTAAGCGTGGTGTGTGTAAGTCGACATCTCGATGTGAAGAGCCCAAAGCCATCATGAAATACTACCCGGCCCAACCTAAGCAACTAGCATTAGTGCTACCGGCCCATTTGCCTTCTCAGGCATGTCTTGGATATCTCAGCCAGCCAGCAAGTAGGATGCTGCCCTGTGATAATCGACATGTCAACCGGAACTCAATCATATAGACAGTAGTACTGGTAGCCGGTTATATCTGTGTGGCTAGTTGGTAGCCAAGGAGGAGGCGGCGCTGATCTTCGGCAACCTTGTCTAGAGGTTTTCTTTATTGCGTCCTCTTGACTGGGCCTTGTCTCTGTTGAGGACATTTGTATTGACAAGCATGAGAGCTTTGCACCGTGGCCTATGCAACCGCAGATACCAGCCAGGCAGGAGGATATCTTCTCTAGAATTCAACCAGGCTAATGATACATCCACAATTCCGTCAGGCTCTTTTGCTCCCTCTTCAATGTCAAGTCAAGTCGACAGACCGAATGGACCTTTCGCAATGTCTCACATTCTAGGTTAAAGCAGCTTTCCCGGAGACAGCTCACTTTACCGGTCCCAGCTAACCTCCTCCACTAACCTGGATCTCACCCATTCCGGCACCCGCACCGACGCCCACGCCCACGCCCACGCTTATTAGTTCTAGTGTAGATGGCCTTAGCGACCTTTTGTAGGGCATGCTGTGCTATACCTGCCTAATTCTAGGTTTTGCCCACGTCAGGGTCCCCACTCTCCAACGCTAACTTAGTTAACGCCTGTCAGTGCCCGGGGCCGGTCTACTGTGATAGTGACGACCTTGCTGCGTCGACACTTCAAGTACATTTCCCATCCATGACCAAGCAAGCGGCTTCTCTCGCCTCAGCAGCGCCGAGCGACCCCCGCTGCTGCTGTTGCCGCTGCTGAACTCACACCTCAGCATTCACCACACCTCAATCTCACCACCTTTTCCTAATCCTCCTTTGTAATAACATCGTCGACTCCTCCTCCTCCTACTCCCCCTACTCCCATTACAGGTGTCTAAACGACCGGAAGCGTTTCTGTCTGCCTCAACTCTCCTGGGCATCAAGACACCGGTATCCCCTCATCCTCACCAGAGCGACAGGATCGCGGCTGCGCACGCACGCACGCACAACACCAAGGTCGAGGGAAAAGTGAACTGCCAGCCAGTCCAATTAATTATCACTCTGCAGCAAATACCTGCAACCAACAAGTGACTTGACGACAACAACAACGCCACCATCACCACCCGTCGGGGCCCAATCCTTACTGGGCAGGATTTGCCCTGTTGGTTAAGGAAGCTTGGCTGAGGAATAAGCAAGCTCAGACATTACCAAAAGAAAAGCACCTTGCCGGCCAAGAAGAAAAAGAAAGAAGCTCATACTCGGCACTGCGCGACTGTCAGCCCGCTAGTCTACCTGCTGATTTGATCTGGTCTGTTTGTCTGTCCGTCTGCTCGGATCGGCTGGATCTGGAAATCCTGTACCGTACCAAATGCGCGCACCTGTCAGGCCGCTGCCGTACAAGAAGTAGCCATGCGGCCTGACGACCACTACTTCGACTCCTCTCCCCCTCCGCCCGCCCCCTACTCCAACTGGCCGGGTTTGTACGTGGATCACAGCCAGGCCGACGTTGGGTCGCCCTCTCCCAGCCTTCCTCCCTCACGTGCCACTCTTCCAGGTGTTCGAGACAATTCTTCGAGCGTAGCGGACAACCAATCTGTGACATTAGATGATCAGCAGAGCGAAATAGCCGATTCCCGCAATACCTCCTTCCCCTACAGCAACGGCTTCCTGGAGGACGAAGACGCCCGAAACGAGCAAGAACTGCAAGAGGAGGATCATGGTGTTGACTACGACGAGGATATGTCAGACGACGATGGCGGCGTTCCTCTGTGGCTTATGAACGAGGGAGGCTTCCACGGCGTGCTGCTCCCAGCACTCGAGGACGATACGGATGCCTCTGACGAGGATTCGGATATGGCCAACTTGGGTCACCCACACAACGGCGCCGTGACCGATAATCCCATACAACCACAAGAAGACGCTGCTTTTGCCCCTCCTATACCCTTCGATACCTTTATGGATATGCAGGACCAACTCCAATTTGTGCCCACGCAGGCGACTAACCCACCGGTGGTATCACAGCAGCTCGAGCAGCTCGCTGGGTTCTTCGCTGACGAGGCGGGAGGATTCGATGGAAACCACCCTACTGCCCTGAGCAACCCAAATCCTAACACTCTGGGACCAGAGAATCCTGGCCTTTTTGACTTTCTTCGTCACTGGGCTTGGCAAAGCCGGTGCTTGCAGGGCCTGGCGCGAGAGCGGGGTCGATATCCATGGCTTCCCCAGGTCAACTTGCAGGCCTCAGAGCGTGTACCATTCATCGGTGTGAACCATCTCGAGGGAGATAGATTCGACTTCCAAGGTATCGACTGGATGAAGCTCGGCGTAACGAGGAGAGAAGCGCGGGAGCGGCGCCTACTGACCTATAAGAACTATGTGAACAAGCCCGGCTCCGATAGATGGCAGGTGAGTATTCGACTTTCAGCCGCCTGATTGGCTTTGATATTACAGTGCCTAACTCTGTCTCAAGCACATGGACGTTGTCATCCCTCGATCAGAAAGCTTCTTCAGATTCCGACGCATGGACGTTAGACGAAACGTCCACCTGTCACATTTCCAGCTACGTAACGTACTGGCTTCCACCTCGAGGAGTCAGGTTTTCTACACAGGCAATTCGACCGTGCACCAGTTCAACCCCATATCTGGCGAGAGCCGGGTGGCTATGACAATGCTCGACACATCGGGTACTCATATCTCGACATTGGCCGCAGATCATGGTATCCTTATTGCGGGAGGCTTCAACGGCGAGTATTGCCTGCGACGCCTCGACTCAGATCTGGAGGGTGAGAGCGAACAATGCTACGAAGGCACCATTACGAATGCTGCTAGCAATATTACAAACCACGTCCAACTCCATTTGTCGAGAAGCTCATCCAGTCCCCGGGCCGCCTTTGCATCCAATGATACGGGATTTCGCATTCTAGATATCGAGTCGGAGACATTCCTGTCCGAGTCAATCTTCCCATATCCGTTGAACTGCTCTGCAATGTCTCCTGACCGACGTCTACGAGTTATGGTTGGAGATCACTACAATGCCATCATTACTACCACAGATGGCGATGGCCGCTGTGAGATCCTGCAGGAATTGACCGGTCACCGAGATTTTGGCTTCGCGTGCGACTGGGCAGATGACGGATGGACCGTTGCGACTGGTTTCCAGGACAAGGCGGTCAAGATCTGGGATGCACGGCGTTGGACGAATAGTCAAGGCGTCTCAACACCAGTTTGCACGATCCGCGCTGAGATGGCTGGAGTCCGCAGCCTCCGCTTCTCACCTTTAGGGTCTGGGAAGCGAGTTCTGGTAGCCGCGGAGGAGGCCGACTATGTCGACATTATCGATGCTCAAACCTTTCGACGCAAGCAGACCATCGATCTCTTCGGAGAGATTGGAGGCGCCTCGTTCGCCAATGACGGTCAGGACCTCTATGTCCTTTGCTGTGACCGTGTACGGGGCGGCGTACTTCAACTTGAACGCTGTGGACTTGGTACAGAGGCGACTCATGATCCGACGCACCAGTTTGGCGAGCCCCGCTGGAAAGACAACAGCTTCGACTGGCCGGAGTATCCCACGACCTCCAGACGCGTAGCTCGAGCATCTGAGACCCGCAGAAGGAGGCGTGCTCTAGCTGCTGGAGAACTCGAGCCTTTCTAAAGATTCTAATACTGCACCACGCAGCAACCGAACAACAAAACCTTCTCACGCCTACCAGTGCGTTTATCCGAATTTCAGCTGATGCATAACGACTCGAATCTATGACGAATGGAGGCGTTGAAGGGCATTGGGAGCGTTGAATTTCTCAGGATGATTTATTTGTTCTCTTTGTCTGAAATTGAGGCATTTGACCGTGCCATCGCCAACTGCACAATCTGCAATCAATACCCCCTTGTCAATTTTTTTTTTTTTTTTGCCTTTCTCATACTACACCGATTTCTAATCTTCTGACTGAGACCATGGACTGGTCGGTAGTATACCTTTTATTCTTTTATTCCAAGTTCGGCACAATGCCAACACTGCCTACAGGGCAAGCATATCTTGCATACGGACCATATTCAAGGGTAGATATTATCCGGCCTTCGCTCATCCTTTTTTATCATCATTATCTGGACGGATACGGAATAAGCACAAACCAATTTGGCATAGCCTAGGTACATGGCATCATCATCATCTGACTACAGAAAGGGGGGAGTCGAATCCAAAAGGGAACGAGAATACTTTGGCATAGCTTTTGCATGGAAACATGGCCCATTTTCTGTGTGTGTTTGTTTGTATCCCATCACCCCAGGAGGAGTTGGAAGTATGAGTTTCTCAGAGACTCGGGTTCGGATATATCGTACCGTATGTATATCGATGGACAAATTCGTTTCGCAGGAGACGTTGAATACGACTGTATACATACGACCATGGCTGTTAACTCTAGCACCCTCTCTGTGCCTTGCTCGCTGCCTTGATAATATGATGGTAACAAGATTTACATCAGATGATGACCATCACATGAATACATAATCACGACCATCATATATGCAATGCTTATTCATAGGTGGGAAGTCTCTTGACAACTCCAGAGGATCAGAGTGATTCTAGAAAGGGAAAACGAAAGGACTAAGTAATAAACAGGTAGGTAGGTACCATACACAACACAAGATACGCCGTGCCATGGACGTTGCCCGACTCCGTCAAGCCCCAAAAATATACAACACCAAACAGCAAAACACCCTTGATTATATCAGCCTCATGCTGCGTCCACGGATATCTGATTAGGGACGAGCTGGAATGCAGTCGTGACCCGAAGAAGCAGCCAAAGTCAAGTTGTCTCGTCTCTCGTGATGCCAAAGACGCCGCAGTGATGGAAAGAAAAGTCATAAAGTGAACATGTCACACTCATAGAAACCACCCCTGAAGTCCGCTCCCGCTCAGGCGCTTCACTTCTTCTTGCTCTCGTCGATGTCGGCTCCGATCTCCGCTGGCTTGCGCGGGTCGACATAGGCAGTGTAGCGCTCATCACCCCAGCGAGCGCCGATGGTCACCCATACATGCTTCTGCTGCAGAGGGACGTTCTTCGTCTCGCGGGTACCAGTCCAGCGGATGCGACCCTCGCGAGACATGTCGCTGTTTCCAATGCCTCCGTTCATGACCCATTCCTTCACAACGGTCTTGATGAACTGCACCTTCTTGCGGAAATCGTTGGCTGCGGGGATCCCCTGAAGCTCCACAGGGATTTCCGGTCTGCTACGCGTCGGGTTGCTAGCACTACGGGTAGCAGTACGAACGCCAGACTTTGACTGCGTTGCGAAGTTGAGGAGGGTCTGCAGAGGATAAGAGAGTACCGTTCTGTCGTCGAGGGCAGATTCCTCCATAGCCCCGGTCTCTGCTAGCCGCTCAGCAGCCTTTTGGGGAAGATGCCAGAAGTGGCACCAAGTGCCGGTGGCATCGATGACGATCTTGGTATGATCGGGGAAGTTGAACTACCGTGTCGTTAGTATTGATTTCGAATCACAAAATCATTGAGGAGACATACCTGAAGGTGTCCATCACAGAAAACCCAGCAACCGACATCCCCAAACCTCTGATAGAATGTGACTAAGTCGCTCGGGGCTGCAGTAGGGTCCGTGATGGTAGGGGCACGCATCTGAGAGTCTCCGGCAGGACCGTCAAGTTCTCTTCCGTAAGCCAGCATGTAGTTTGCGAACTTTTTCCACAACACAATGCGCTCTCGCTTGCGGTGTTCATATGGCGTTTGTCCAATGCCCAGTTTTGCAGCAGTGCCATCGGGATATACAGGTACTCTGAAGCATTCGGGATCAACACGCACTCTTGTCATACCGTCCTCGCCGTTGTTCTCGTAGAAGTATATGCCCTGGGTCATAGGGACAATCTGGTGTCTGTCGGAATATGTACGGTCATTCTTTCGCTGGACATGGCGTTCTGCATCATGAACAAGGAGGCATGCTGGCGGTAGAAGGGCGGTCTTATTGCCTTCAGTTGTAGCCACGCTTCTGAGGATGCACCCAACACTGCCGTCGTTAAGGATATAACCAAGACCAAACTTGTTAGTATAATCCACCCATTTGACAACAATTTTTGGTAGTGCTGGTGCCTTGTCCTTGGTAGACACAATTGCCATAGATCGTGAGTTCAGTGCACGCTCCAGCTCTGTCTGCAGTCTGCGAAGACGGTCCAGAACAGCGTCAGGTCTCGTACTAGAAACAGATTCCTGATACTCTGAAGGATCAAAGAGAGTGACCATCTCATCCTTGTTGAATGCCTGAATAGGAGTTTTTTGTTGTGGCTGCGGCTGAGGGACCGTCGCTGATCTCATACTTCCAGCGGACCTACTCGTAGGCAGTTGAGCCCTTGTAGAGCGAGTAGTGCCTTTTACAGCCTCTTCATGAGCCTCGACGGAAAGAGCACCACTCATTGTTAGTGGTGCCTCTTTCTTGCTCCGGGATCGAACTGTCGTTGGTCTTGTTGGAATATCTGCAGTAGATTGCGATCTGACAGGCAGTACGGGGTTTGCAGGCCTGTTCTGTGCTCTCTGTTGAGCAGCAAAGCTCTGGGGTGGCTGTCTTAGAAGACCAGACGGTGCCTTCAGTGTCGCATTCACCGTCAAATCCTCCGTTCTCTCTGACAATACAGATGATGATTGAACAGCCAAAAGCTGCTGCTGCTGTATTTGTTCCCGTTTCACCTCATCGTACGGTCGGTATACAATGCTCTCTGCCAAAGGTATCACAGGTGTCAGACCGTGCTTCTCTTCTGCGGCAATCTCTCTCCAGATAGCAGTATGAATCACCCGCGTCTGATTCCATGGTCCAACACCAACTTCCCGACAGACTTCACGAAGGTTACGGAAGTTGCGCTCTTCCATTGCGGAGTCATTGGCAGCTTCGTAGAAGACCATCTGCTCTGGCGGTGCCTCCCTTAGTCGTGATGTGATGTCTGACTGTACAGGCATATATCCGACAGTGAAAAAGGGGTGTTGAACTATCGTGTCCGGCTCTGGTCGTCTGTCGGCATCCTGAAGCATCATTGCGACCAGGTCCTTAGCCTCCGGGCTAACGTACTTCTGATCGACGCTGGGCCATTCATAGTCTCTTTCCCTCGCCCGGCGATAGATCTCATCAGTTGTGGATGACTGAAAGGGCGGTTTCGATGTGAGCATCGCGAACCTACATAAGTTAGCATTCAAAGTAGTCACAAACGAAATTACTGATAGACGCACATGATGATACCCAAGCTCCAGATGTCCACCATATGATCATGACCAACTTTTCCCTTCTGCAGAATTTCCGGAGCAATGTAATTTGGTGTTCCGCACAATGTTGTCCGACGAATGGTTTGCATATCTTTGCCCGTCACGAGTAGCGCGGCCAAGCCGAAGTCACCAACCTTTGCATTCATATGCTTGTCAAGGAAGATGTTGCCCATTTTGAGATCTCGATGAATAATGCCTTTCGCATGCATATACTTGATTGCACCAGCGATCTGTACCGTGTAGAAACGGACTTCTGGTTCTGTCAATCCTTTTCGGCGCTTCACCATGTCCATGAGCGAGCCGTTCGGGCACAGCTCAAGCACCAAATAGGTGCAGCTCTCGAAAGTAAACGCTCGATGGAATTGGACAATGTTCTGCTGTCTCATCTTTGACTGGATTTGCAGTTCGGTTTGGAACTTGGTGGCATGTTAGCTTCAGGTCTTCCTGGCTCGAGGTAGCTGAGGGGTGCGAACCTTCTGTTCCATCTTAATTGGCATTGAGCTCTTGACAATCTTCAAGGCATACTTCTTCCCTGATTCAACATGCTTGCCATCATAGCAGATGGCAAAGCCACCTTTTCCTAACAGCTTTCCAACCTGATAAACAGCACCATTCTTGCGATCGGAGCAAGGAGGTTCGATGACCTGAGGTGGTGGAGGAGGAGGATGCTCCTTGTCTTTGGCCGACTTGAGTTGTGCCACAGCCTTGGTCTTGAGATCATTTACTCGTTTAGGGAGCGCATTGGCATCTCTCGGGGACAGAGCTTCCATGTCGATGCCCTTAGCTGCCATCCTGCTCGTGGATGACCGGGCAGACCGAGCCGTACTGGCTATTTATGACTGAAAGGCTCAGAGCAGGCGGGCTGAATGGCGGTATACTACTGATCACAAGAGCCTCGGCAAAATCAGTGCTTGCGATGCGTCGTGATTACCTGATGTTGAACATTAGCCCTAAAGAAATTCGCTGGATGCAACACGTCTCTCGTGGTTTAGTGTAGGAAAATGGCTGCAAGGGAAGGGGCATGAATTGCTGAAGCAGATGGTGATGTTACGGGGGCGGTGTGTCTTGTTGGGATTGGAGGACGATCATCGTGACAAGAAATGTGGAAGTAAACAATCATCAAGAACATTGGAGCGATGGAGGACTTACAAGTGGTTGATCTCTGCGACGACATGCAAAAGGCGACGACTGCGGAATAGCAAGTATCCTGAAGACTAGATATGATAATTCCGCCGGTGTTGAGGCTATTGTCAAGTTTTGGCAGACGAGCCGGAACCGAGCTCGATGCTAAGGTCGGGTCAGGTCAGGGATCCACGGTCTTCGTTTGTTGCCTTTTTGGTGGTGGTCGTGCAGGGCAACAGAACAGCAGCCTGCGACCGGGGTGTGGTGCGTGGTGTGGGGACCATTGTAGAAAGACGGGAAACAGGCGGGAGCAAGCTGGTGTGGGCCACACTCCAGCGGGTTCTATCGCTAAGCTTTGCTTGGATTGGTCTCCTGCAACGCCGTAGCCCCGCGGAACGTCAGCGAAGCATTCGTACCTGGCTGACTATCACAGGCAGCCAAAGTTTTAGGTCGATAAAACCCGTGCGACTCGCAGCAGTTCGTCGAGACGAGTGCGCAATACGGCTTTTCGATGTGATACTGGCCGATTGCCAACCGGTAGCGAGGCGCAAAGATAGGATACTCCCGCCCGGTGAGCTGGACCTGCGCCCGATTCGTCAATCCCATCCGGACACGCCGGCGCAATGGTGCCTCTTCCTCTCTTCAAGCTCGGATCGTTGTTCATTCGGCATATATCCAAGTATGGCGCAGTGAGTGCTCAAGCTTTTTGATTTAAATAGTAAACTCGTCTAATGATAGAGAGCAGAATCGGATCAAAGCACAAGCGCATGATCATCCGGGGTTTCGGCAGTTCGCCGCAAAGTATGGGCAACATATACACCAATTGAACATGCGCATGTCTGTAGCACTATTACGGAACACCGAAGCAGAGCTAAGGGCGAAAGAGAAGGCAGAAGCGCCAACGGTCAAAACAAAAGAACAGACTGAAAAGGAGGAACAGTTGAAGGCGAGATACGGGACGACAGCCAAGGAATCACACGCTTCAAAAGACGCCCCAAGGAGTGTATGGAAACGGAAATTCAGGCCTCTTCCGGAAGGGAAAGCTGTCGATCTTTTCGCAGATGTCATTGGTGATGGCTTCATATTATTCGTTGCCACTGGCTTGATCATCTACGAGTATTGGCGATCATCTCAGAAACCTGACACAAATAAACTTAGGATCGACGAGTTGAGGCAGCAGCTGGAGGCCGCACAAAACAAGGAACAGGAGCTGGAAAAGGAAGAAAAGAGTCTACAAGAAAGAGTGCGGCTCTTGGAGGATGTACTTCGGAATTACAGAGATCCTAAGACGAAGCAGCCTCTTCTATCTCTGCCGACACCGACAAGTCCACCACCTATTTGAACGAGACGCAAATGGCCGCCATATTAGACTTAACTCTAGGTCGCCAAGCGGTCTGCCTTTGATCTTGGCAGATATTGATGCCATTCTCACGAATAAGCTGCGTATGGCTGTTGTGGGGATCATTAATGTATATACCAATTGATGTGTACGATCAAGTCTCGGGACTATATTGGGTAGGCACGATCCACAGGATTCTTGCCACAAAAATATGGCGTTCAGGAGAGATTTCAAATTCTCCAGGTAGTTGTTGCTGAGAGGGGAAGGAAGGCTCGATAGATGGCCGGAGAAGGCAAGAGCTTTCCTACTATGGTGGCTCTAAACTCCTCTCCCGTTTTCTTGGATTATGTTAGATGATACCACTATAGAAAGGGCAAGCAAGCATAAAACACACCTCTCACGAACTGAAAAAAGAAATACAAAATAATCTGAAGCCGCTTGGACAAGACTCACGTCAATTACGAGTATACGGCTACATACGATGGCCCAAACTGCCTCCCTTAAGCATACACCCCTTGCTGCCAATGTTCCGACGTTCTGCACGTCTCTGCGAAAGCGGAGGGAATGGGAAACTCTGGTGCCCATCCTGCTGAAAGAGACGCCAAAATGGCGAGGTATGTTGACTCGAACTGAAGTGTTGCTTGATTGTCTAGAAGATGCTGAACATCTCTAGAGTCAAGACTCGAGACTCACGATGTCGCTATGCCTGTGGCCAAATCAGAGTCGCCCTCTGGTCATGCAATTTTCCGCTTTATCTTGTTATCCCAAGTCGATGTCGGGTCCGATCAGACAGAGCAGCGTCTCAACCGACTTGCGCATCTGACAGGCGGCATCAATGTTGCTGTGATTTTTCTCCTCGGTGATGGAGGCAACATGTCTGGCTTTATGCAACTGCAGCTCGAGTAGGTTTCCTTTATTGCCTTTTGTATGCGGAAATGGCAAATAAAGCCACATTATCAAGACGATGTTGCTTATAAGTATTCATAGTATGATGGACAAGTTCGACATGCGACTTCTGCCCCTATATACTGTGCAAGCTCTACCGACTACTCTAGCAGCTTTCATCCAACAACTCAGCACCGTTAGCCACCCATCGAGGCCATATAAGACCATTGTTCATGACCTCTTGTCATACAGCACCCTGAATCCGCATTTGACCGAGCACAAGCTCAACTTGCTTAGCGACATCACAAGTGGTTTCAAAGAACTCGCTAGCAAGGCAGCCACGGAAGAGGGCAAGGCTATCCTATTAGAGTATCTGGGCGAAGAGGACGCGCAGCGGGTCATCGACTTCTGGATGTTTGAATACGCGCTATGAGTGGCTGGCAACCAAGGTATTCTTTGGTATTTTAGGTGCGACAACGTGACGGACCTGGGATGATGAAGATTATGGCATATCCAGTGAGAGAACGCCCACAAAACGAGCTCTCTGGCTAAGACCACGGACTACATTTGTGAATCGTCCATGCGTGTCTGGGATCTCGAGCTTCTCTGGTGTAAGAGGATATTGATAGCAGCGCACCTCCCTCTTTGGTACGACCCAGATGTGCTATGTCAAGATTTAAACGGAGGCCGTGGACGATTTGGACGGCAAGTAGTAATCAACATCGCTAAGACTAGCACAATCACTCATAAAGCTTCCATGGCTACTCGGGCTTTCAACCAAGAGGAATGCGACCCGTATACTCTGAACGCGTGGGCACCTCATTCTCCATCGATGGTCGGAACACGGAAATAGAATTATCAAGGCCAAGATATCCAATCCAATGATTGTGTTCATGATGGTCTGCAAGCCTCATTCTATTTCCGCAATGTCGGTGGCAGGGATTAATCCGAGCAGTTGCCCGCATCTTCGGTCACAATCTCTAGTTGAACCAGAAAGGAATAGTCCAATGTGCAGCGTGATATGGCGTACGTTGCATACATCCGGCTCACAAGCATCCAACCCCACACTTCCGAACAAGCAGAGGTTCAACCTAGAGGTGCATGCCCTTACGGAGAAGTGTTGCTTGAAGCACAGCTCAACACCCAAACCTCGCTGTCGATTTACTGGTGACAAGGGCACACTTCCCGTTGTATAATGGAATGCCAGCAGGATCTATCACGATCCCAAGCAGGCCTTACAGAGTCGGCAGAAGAAGTAATCCCAGAACTACCCCAATTCCGCATGACACAAGCTACGTGGTTGATAAGAGCTAGGTATGAAAACGGTCGTATGATACCAAGGATTCGATATCACAGTCAACAAAGAGCCCCCACAATCACATCACCGCTAGATCGATAAGATGTGTGACGACGCTTAATTGCCAAGTAGGCAGACCAAGGCAGAGGGTGCGAGATGATAACCGGCCACCTATTGCAACATGACTGCTGGATGTGAAGTCCAGCGGTGAAGATTTGCGGGGAAAGGGAAGCCACCGGATCGCGGCAGGCACAGCGGTGAAGACCATAAACGGTAATCCGTTCACAGATTTCACGGCTCTTCACGCATCTTCATGAGAGAACCTTTCTTCGAACAAACGGACTGCAGAGTAGGGTGACGGGCAAATGGTTTACTTCTTGCCCATCTGACAAGTTCTCTCACCGGACCTTCAAGATAACTTCGTAGGACCGTCCATGTTCCATGCACCGACCACGAGTCGAGTCGACTGGAGGAAGCAGGATAACACCAGAGACTTGCGGGGGCCAAAGCCGGGCAATATAAGAAATGGCTTACAGAATCTCTATTATGGGCAGCCCAGATCTTGCCTAGCACCCGCTAAAGCGCAATTGACCAGTGGAAAGGCCCGCTGCCGTGAACACTTCAGGTCCCGCCCGCAGATGTGGTGGGAGCGATGGCGGGAAGGATCCTAGAAGTCACTTATTGGCTGAGTCTGGACCCGGCTGGCACACCATTCACCATCACAGTGGACTAGGCCCTGAATCCCAGCGACTTCCATGTGGCTTGAAGCAAGAGCCAATGAGAATTTCTGTGCAACCGCCAACAAACCTGCAGTGTCTTCTGGGAGTTGCGAGGCTTGGGAAGTCGCTGACTGCATCTACCGACTCAAGAGTAATGTGCGTGATGGAATCTTTCAACCGCATGGCTTCCAGTGACGCGGCGTGTGATAGACCATTCCCACTACCGACGTCGTCTCCGAGAAATGGGAAAAAGGGTGCAGGAGCACACCCAACCTCAACTCGTCAAGTCTCACGACGCCTCGAGGTAAGCGACAATGTGGCATACTTGTTGGGTGCAAGACGGCTTGACCATCCTTCTGGGTGCGAGGCGCGGTCTGCCAAGCGCAAGGAAGGAAAAGAAGCCATGCTATGCAGTCAAAGATCACCAACTTCTTCAATCTGGCAAATCGTCGTGCCTGACTCTCGTAACGGCTGTCACACTTGGATGAAGTGCCATAGCCTATCTCATTATCATTGACAGCAAATGAAGTGTCTTGACTAGCGATGAATCAAGCTTCTGCCATCCGTGCGGTGAATGAGCGATTCAACTCTATCGAAACATCCCAACCATACAGTCGCCCGAATTACGATGGGAGCATCGAGTGCTGTCTGGTCTATCGACTGATAGTCGAGCCAGAACCTTGCCACCTCGGATGAGTTGCCGAGGCCTTTGACAGCTGCTTTGTTGAGGCGAACAGCGAAAAAAGCACAGCTCAGCGTTTCACATTTGTAGCTACCAAAGACCGAGTGGAGCGGTCCTCAAACAAGCTTAATTGGAGCCATCAACGAGAATCTGCTCTGCCGGTTCCGACAACCCAATGTGTCGAGGTATTAGAAACAAAGAAGGAGCGCAATATGTGGGCTGTTAAGGAAGCTTATTGATGTCGTTCTTCACTGCGCCGTAGAGCGACATCCGTCCTGTCAATCGATCAGTTGATCCGATCCTGCAAATGTACGCCTTGCACGCCGCCGCCTGTGGCGACCAAGGAAAGAACCCTGGGCGGGTGTCTGAGCGCATCTGGGGTCCCGGTCGGGCCTGTCTTACTCGCCTCGCAGCAGCCGAGAAAGAGGCTTGGCGACGGGGAGCACTTGGGCGGGTCTCTCAAACAGCATCTGCCTCATGGGCATGTTAGTTGACAGGGCACTGTTAGAGAGCCGCTTGATCGACTGTCGCAGACATTCAGATGGCATGAACTGTTGAGATTGCACAGCCGTCCGAGGACGAGATGACAACAGGCTGACAGAGATCATCAGCATTGTACTCGTTGTAGCACTGATTCAGGTCGGCCACGAGGTGTGGTGTAACGATAGTAGGGCATCTTGTGGTGAGGCGGGCGGGGGCAGCACCGCATGGAGTTTGGGCTGCACCAGGGCATCAATGACGCTAGTGAAACTGCCATTGTTGAACCTCACGATGAGGTTCTTGGTGTTCTTAGGCTATCTTCAATCACATTTCACCAAATTGTGACTGTCCACGACACCTGCATCGATAGAAGTCTAGGGCAACTGCGTCTGGCTTCTTTTGGTAGTCCTTCAACAAATGCAGCAGCAGTGATGAGCTGGCTCACCTGGCAACGATGGGACAGGCCGGGCGGAGGGTCTTGGCCAGATAGGGAACGAGAGTGACACGAGCAAGAGACGTCCAAGTCACTGACCGCCAGAAAAGCTACGACAAGTGACGCCTGCGATACCTTTGGGGCTGCTGGGTTGCTGATACAAGGGCCTGGAGGGGAGCCCATCCCTGCGGTCCGGGGGTTTGACCCCTGCGTTGTCCAAGCGGCAGCGAGTGTCATTGGCCGTGCCCCAACCTGTAACCGCCCAGTCTCTCCAATCACCTTGGCCGAGCCGGCCTGTGCTATTCTCAACCACGTCCCATTTCACCACCACCTCGCAGCACCCAATGCTTTGCCTGCTCGCTGCTGCCCGTGGCCGCTCTCGGCATCAGCACGCGCTGCTACTCTGGCCGCCGGCCTTCTGATGAGGGCTGGAAGCAATCAATCGATCAATTAATCGCTGTGGGAGAGACACACTAGCAGAAAACAGCATCCAGTGCGTGCCTTGGCCCTGGCTTCCCAGCCTGCCAGTCACCGCCTTCTTAACTAAATCGGGTCATATGGCCATGTCTGCACATCATGGAACAGGCCGACTGCTCCCGCCCATGGCCTACAGCGGAGATTTCCCCCCAGTCAGTCGTCCAGAATGGCCAGCAGTAGCGGCCAACTGGGACTGGTTGGGGCGGCTTGCACACTAAAGCAGAGAATCGGTCGCGGCCGTGGCTCATGAGACTGGAAATCTCCCTCGTTTGCCGCGGAGTCCAATCTGCGTTGTACTGCGTAGTGTATGGATGGATGGACGTACATCGAGCGGGTATGTAGGTCACTCACTACACGAGTAAGCTAGATCAGGCCATGCATGCGCATGCATGTACAAGTGTACGTACATTCAATACAATATCTACAATAGGCCGCCCAGATGCAGGTGTTAATCCTCTCCCACGGACTCCCAATCAGTTCTAGTCGAACCTACATGCGACTACTCCTCCTCCTCCCGCACGCACTGGGCTTCCCGTTCTTAAACCTGCATGCCCCGGGACGTCTGAGGATCAAGCAGACTTCTCTTACATGCTAAAATACGGTCTTGCCTCACATCTTCCCCTGGCCTCGACCCCCTTCCTCGTCCTGTCTGATCTTCAAACCTCCTTTCAATGCGAACGAGGCAATGAATCCCTGAGATCGCCAGCATAGACCCATTGCTGCCACGAGCCACCCTCAACCCAGCCCACAAGCTGCTTCAGAACACAACGCCATAAAGAACCTTAATGTTGGACCCGCAGACAGAGCATCCGTCTTCCGTGCCTCGTCTTCCTCGTACCCTGGCGGCGCCCTGCCCCTTCTAGATATCCCAGCTCTCTCCACCCCCTTAGGAGAGCCTCATCGGTCACCCAGAAACACCTTAATGCCGCTCGGATGCCAGCTGTCATCATAGATCAGATTTCCAGAACCTGGATCACAGACGACATCATACCAGCATCAAGCCAGAAACATCCGATACCCAGCCCCCACCCGCTGAGGTAGCAGGGCACTGTCTGATACACCACAACTCCCGGCCCGGGTGCTTGCCCACTGGGCGGGCACGTACCATCCAAAGTGTGGCTCTGCTGCCAGAAAACCCAGACACTCTGAGAGGGTTCCCACCCCCAGGCGAGCAATATAGACTCGCTTGGCCCCGCTGGCCGGTCTCTTCCTGGGCTTTCTCACCCTCTTCCCTTCCTTCTAGGTAGCGCTGTGCACTCGCCTGTCGATAGCCCTCTTTCATATCGGCAGTTTCTGTTCAACGCCAAGGACAGGTCCGGATACCTGTACCTCTTTATTTCCGAACCCTTTCTTACCTTTCGACTTCGACCAGTTCAAACTTCCTTTCTTTTCCACCGGTTGGGTCTTGTTTTGCAGTAGTGTCTTGGAAAGTAGGGCTTCGACAGACCGACGACTTCGAATTTTACCTAGGAGCTTGACGCATTCTTTATTGGGCATTCTTCGAAGTTTCTGACTGTTTGGGGCTGCGCCTAAATCGAATCACCAAGACCTCAAAAGGACTTCCGGCAAAGGGCATCGGGAGGAAAAGGAAAGAGCAATCTAGGAACGGCCAAGGGCGAGAAGAGAAAGAGAAAGGAACGCAAGGAACCAAGGATTTGGTAATAGGAAAGGAACCAAAATGGGCAGACTTATCAAGAACCACTGGGCAAGGCTCATCATCCTGAGCTCGGCAGCTTGTAAGTGAAGATGTTCATCCAGGAAATTATCATCAGGAGTATCACGCTAACAAGCGAACCAGACCAAATTGCCGCTGCTCTGGAGGGCTTCTTCTGGCCAAAGATATTCTTCGACTTTCTGACGAAGACACTGGATCCAGCTGTGAAGCCATTCCCGATATTGCAAATTATCAATTTAGTGATGGGCATATTGCTATTTGCCTGGGAGTGGCCGCTGGGATTCATTGCGGGATCATCGATCCACCGGAGCCTCGAGGCTCGTCTGGCAGTGCTGCCGCTGGCGGCTCTCGCCTCCATTCTCATCTACCAGGGAACCAACGCTGCACTGTACTACGTGGTTGCCATGGTTGTGTATTTCTGGGCATACAGCGAGGGCGAGGTACGTTACATCACCAACTATATTCGAAGCAACAAATCCTAACATTCTCATAGATCATCTGCGCCAAGCCCTGGACACTACCTCAACGAGGCGGTCGTGGTGGCCGAGTCTAAGCTCCATCACCACCGACAGCCACGATATACATATCCTCTCTTCTCTCCAGCTCTCTGTACTGTGTTGCGAGTAGGGAACATGGCGGAACCATCCCTACAACCAAGCAATCACAACAGGCGCTGGAGAGCCGTATATATCAATCAACCCAAGGCGAACCTTATTTTGCTTCTAGATGGCATATCATTTCTTGTTTTACCTATTATCACTTTTTGTCTATATGGGGGTGTCTCTTTTGACTTGTCTCCATCGCGACCAAGGAGAGACGAAGGAGGGGGAACGAAAGACTTCCGGCGTTCAAGACAAAGAAAGGGACATCTACATATCCCCAAGGAAAACTCGACTACGGGGGCTAGGGGGCGTCACGCGAGATTTCTTTCCCATATAGGGTCGCTCGCGAAGTGCAGGGGAGGAGGAGGAAGGAGAGAGGCGGGATAGATGGGTGGATTGTTTACGAGGAGAGACGGATTACAGCTTCGGGTGTACTATCACCATGATATCAAATCCAGCAGTTTACGAGGAGGACCAGAACTAGCTGGTGGTTGCTCGCGATGACATCTTTCTCGCGGCAGCTCATCAAAGCCTCTCACATGGCTCAATCATGACAGTAGCATTAATACGATCTGGATTCACAGTCCAAATGAAATGACTTCATTACTTCAAAGCGCACTGTGTAAAACACTCGTATTAGACATGAAGCAACCCAATCTGATGAAATGGCAGATCTCTAGCGCCGAGAGAGTTTCAAGCGACTGGCGAGACGGTGGCGGCTCCACACCTGAGTCGCAGCGAAGGATTCGAAACACGATCGAAACGATGGAAGCGCCACGGCAACGAGGCTCATTTTGGATGCACACTGATCACATGAGAAGCGCTTGAAATGAAATTTGTGGCGGGAAAATGAGTTGCTTAGCAGACTATATGCTAGCTATGGTTCAATGTTGACTTCCTGCTGCGGTCATGACTGTCAATTTTCACAATTGACATCCGCGCAATGAGAATGAAGCCAGAACGACCAATGATCCCGTATCCACCATACCAATGGTTTGGTTTCCCTCGTAACGTGCCCCAAAAGTAAGACCCAGACCATTGTAAGATCCCAAATCTCAATAGCAACGTAGGCAGGTCATGCAAGCAACCGATACCATTTCGCAGCAGTTGTAACAGCAACGTTCATAACTCGTCTGAAGCACGTCACAAAATGTGCGAAATAGACGCCTCAAGTGGCATTTGAACCGGCGTCTCTTCTTCCGCGGATCCCTCTAGTGAGCGGCGAGCGGGCCTTTCGAGTCATTCTTTGGTCCCTGACGTTCGGGCATCTGAGAATGACATGTTAGTAATCGGATGTTATTTGGTCTTCAATCAAGCTGGGGTACTTACCGATGACTCCTGGAGAGTTCCCTTCTCTAGGATCTGCTTGATCACATCCTCGTCCGCGTGGGTGCCGAACTCGTTGTCGAGAACGGAATCGGATGCCTCATCATATGTGCCTTGAGCACCATGCCTGTGATTAATTCCATTGGTTAGCGATCATAATCATCCAATAAGGCTGTAAGTTTGCATTTTGCATGGTCAAGGCCACACCCAGGGCCTGCCACAACCATGCGTTGTGACAAGAATAGGCAGAGCCTGGTAGTCAGGGCCTCGACCATGGTGGTGGCAATGTCATCTATTTCAAGCCAACAGGCGACTTGAAACACGCGATAGCCGCTGGGCAGTGGCAGGCCTATTCAGACCAACACCGGCCACCTCAAGTGATGTTGGTCATGTCAAACATCGACTCCATCAATTGAAGCGGAGATGATAACTAGTCTTTACTTCGACAGGGAAAAGAAAAGTTGCCATAGCATGACAAAACTTACTTGTGCGTCACGAAAACCTTGAAGGCAGAGACAAAGTGTGTCAAGGCAACAGACTTGTCCTCTTGCCACTTCTTGTAGGTCTCGATATCATCAACGAAGATGAGGAAGTCGTCCTCCTTGCCCTTGAGATGGACCTTGGCCTGCTCGGTAGCTCCGCGGACCATTTTGACGGATGGGTGGGATGAGAATAATGTACGTGTGTATGTGGAAAGGGTGGCTGTGGGGAGTGGACGGCGGCAATAGCTGACGTCGACGGCTGTTTTAAGTAGTGGTGTGTTTGGCTGTTTGGCTGTTTGCTGTTTGAGCTCAGTGTCGTGGGATGAAGGGCTCGTTGGTGATTGATGGACTGTTGTTTGTCGTGGAGGTGTAAAGGTAGAAGTGTGTGATGTGTGATGATGAGGAATTAGAGGAGGAAGATTTTGCGGGGAGAGCTCAAGAGCTTTCAAAATATACTGCTGGGAGCTGTAGGGAGGAGTAGGTACCTTAGGTAAGTGTCGTGATCGTCATGCCATCAATTTACGCTGCAAGTTGGAGCTCACGGGAGCAACTACGTCATCGTTGTTGGTGATGGCGGGGCTGGGTGCCACCTCTGGCAGCTGAAAGACACTGGTGGACAAGCTCGGAAGCTGCTGCCCCAGCTGCCTTGCTGCTTTCTGCCTAGCTGCCTTTGCTGCCCATTACGCCGTAGTGGGGTCCTCGCCTTGTTCCCGTCCCTACCTGCCCTTAGAAAATCTACGTTCCTGCATTTTTGTTCGGTTGGTTCCTTACGACGTCACACGTTGCAGGGATGGGGGATGGGTCTGTACGGAGAGCCACGACCGAAGCGGCCTTCATAGATGAAATGAAGAGCCATCCAGATGCTACGTGGAGATCAGGTAAGGCGGTGATGTAGGTGCCTGCATGCACGTGTAGATGCACCCTCTAGCTCCAGTTGTGGACAACGGTTGACTGCATCAAGGAAGCGACTTGACGAAGAGGTAGAAGCAACCACTTTTCGTGAAATGACAACAAGTCAAGATGGATAATTTGTGCTATAATCTAGAGGTGCCCTCTGTCCAAGCCTGTAAACCCTGATAGTGATGCTTCAATGCAGTTAGTAATGCAAGCCACTCAGTTGACGGTGGTATAAACTAATTCACGTCCTGTCCAGCGCCGGAACCAGGCATACCCAAACATACTTCATGGGCCTATAGATGCTGCCCCAATCTACTCGTACACTCCCTCATGGATTACCGGAAAAAACTGCGAATCCCTTGCGCCATTACGCCTCGCCGCAGCATCTCAACTTTGTGCCGGGCATTTGTCAATCGAGGAATTGAGGTGTTTCGATCACCTCGCAAGTCGTGCTGTATGTTCTCTTTGTCTGATGGGCACGACGACTTTTTGGACACATCGGATACTTGTCGATTGATCCACAAGCTGTTCGCCGAGGAGGTACGGAGAACCGGCGAGTCTGCGGTAATGTGGTCCACGTTCAGCCCAGGTGAGTTGCCGATGGTGACAAGCCGGCGCCCACCATGTTCTGCAGGTGGATTACCAGGCTCTCCTGAGTTGATTCGCGAATCTGTGGGGCTGTGCTTTTCGGAATCATCATCAATGATGGATAGGCAAGAATGCACAGAGTCATCGGGTTGGCAGAGGGTCAGCCCTGTCGCGGGAGGTGCCCTTGCAGTCGTTGCATCAAGCAATCTTCTGGCGGCCTCAGTTCCATCATCGCTTACGATCTTTTTCAGACTCGTGACGCTCGGCGATCTTCTCGTGAAGGTGCTTGCAATGCTCGTAACACTCAATTTCCGGATCATAGACGATGCTGATGAGCGAACTGCATGCTCGCTCCTCGCCCGCGCTGTCATGCCGGGGAAAGGCAAGATCCCGCGAGTCCAGACATCCGCTACAAGGGCTTCCAGCCGAGCTCTGTCTCCAGGAGATGGTGCTAGAACCGGAAGTCGACCAGTAGTTGTGAGTAATGATTGCGAACGATTGATAGACGCCGTAGTGGTACTGCTTGTCGACTCTTTTTCCATGGTTGTGTTCTTCAATATGACATGGGATATTGGAGATTTGGCCCCGACAGTCGTAGCTCGATGTATGGACATCCTGCGTGCCACTGTCCCTATGATAAACTATTAGATTCTTCATTGGCCAGTATGTACGATCATAACATTGCATCATTAGACTTACCTTGTTTTCCGAAAACGGTCCCGAGCGTCCTGATATTCAAGGATAAAAAGTTGAAAGTTTTGACCTGTGTTTGCTCTGCAACATCTTTGGCCGGGACGTACACCAATCGCGAGCGCCACTCTGTTTCCTCTCGAGAAGTGCAAGCTGTCATCACAATCTCGTACAGCTGACAATCACATTCAAAGACAACTTTCCAGGTGTACGGGGCCGTATGGCACTGTAAACCTGAAAGTGAGTTAGCAGCGATCACAGGTTCTGCAAGAACATTAATTACCTCGCCCATTGTCAGCAGCCTCTACTTTGATCGTGGCGAGAGGGATGCACGCTTGGATGGTGTAAATTTGGTCAACTCTGTTGCCGGTCGCGAGGCACAGCCAGTCGCGATATAAGAGAGCGATCATGTACTTTCCTTCTACGCCATCTCTTGTTTGCCAACAGACATGAAGAACACCACACAATTGGATGTGCCCGAATGATCGAATACAATTCTTTGATGCAGTATCGAGATTCTGCGAGCCATTAGTCAAAAACCATGATCCCCTGTCTTTCAGCGTACCGTATTAGGGAACATGAGGCGGTCTTGGAGCAGCCAGGTCTTTTGAAGCACAGATCTGACCTGAACATCGTCTGTGGCGCGATTGATTTCTGCTGTAGCTTCGCGAAGTCTGACAAGCGTGTCCTCAATTTCCATATGCGAGTGAGGGCAGTCGCAGACGGGAGTATACTTCAACAATTCTGCAAATAGGAGAGGGTATTTGCAAACTCTCTGGATAGGCTTGCAGACGTTAGATGTAGCCTGATCACATGCTCAGTGTTTACTTACCTTGACCAATAGGTCACCGATCGTTGATGATTTCTTGAAGTGGGCGCCGTGATCACTACCCGGACCCAATGACGCTGCCAAGGCTTCGAGACCCCGTTGATATGTGTCCCATTGTGGTAACGTACGATGTGCTGAAGCGATATCTTTGATCATCATCTCGTACTTCGCCCCGTATTCTTCGTAGACAAAAAACCGTCCCATCTAGATCAGGACTTAGCTGCAATCCATAGAATGAAAGATGAGAAACGAAGTCATACTTTCCGGGAAAAGATTCTGGCTACATCCGCTGCCACCTGGGGGTCGGCGATCATTCCAGGGACGGCGTCCAACCATCCCATTCCATCGTTATCCTCCGGGACAGCGTCGAGACTTCTCCAACGGTGATGGCCCGTTGCCACTTTCGAACCAGGGGTAGCCACCTCAAGTTGTGTGTATTCGGAATGTGGTACGGCATGGTGCAGTTCTCCTAATATTTCTTCATGTAATTCGACAATGTCTGCAAGATTTCGATTGATTGATGATCGAAGTCTCATCGGCAAGGTAGGTAAAGATACAAGGATTGTAACATAAACCTGCACGGTCATCAGCATGGCGAAAAAAGAACAATAGTAAACAAAACTTACGTTCATCAAAAACCGCACGTCTCCAATATATCCCTCTTCTGTGTTAATCAGCTCTTCCAGAATACGGCGCCGCTGCAGCGATCGCTCCACAACTGCTTTGTCCATAACCAATGATCTTTCTAAACAAGAACTATCCTCAGAAGCTCTGTTACCCGAAATCGATGCTCTGCTACTGCGGTCGGTTCGTGAACAGGCTTGGGATGATCTCAATGTAGTACGCCTCGAACGAGCAAGAATACTTGCAGTTGCCATACTGATAGTAGCGCTCTTGACCGAGGCAACGAACCCAAAAGAGGATCCGGAAGACGAATGGCGATGTGCTGCTCTCCGTATTTTTGATGGATTGCCAGCTAACTGTGGAAGCTGCATCGGGTCGTCATCGAAGACTCCCATGACCGTATGTCGATGAGCGGCTCGCCGACGTATGGTATTCATCCATTTGCGAAATGGTTTGTTCTGCTTGTTGGACATACTATCAGAACCGTCCATCTGGTTATCATGTTGGGTTGGAATGACTCCCAAAGCGTCCTCAAGCGCATGAAGCCCGTCTATCGTAAAGCCGAGCGGAGGAATGGTGCCCAACTTGTTCCAGGCATTATCAGACGTTTGCCGGATATTGATCGTTGGAGGTGCCTTGGCTGTGTGACTGATATCACTGGTCACATCTTCGCAACCATTATATGCCGAATCGTCCAAGGTTCTCAGTAGGCGCGTGATGATAACTGAGCTGGTACGTGAGCCTGACTCCAAAGAATCGTTGCCGTCTTGAGACATAATGACTTGAGTCCAAGAAGTCGAATTCAAAATCGATAGTTCCAAACAAGCTCCCAAAAAACCCCAAGAAACAGAAGTCAAGAGACAATCATTCCAAAAAGGCTCAAACCATGATAACGACGAGGCCCAAAAAGAAGCAATATAATGCAACGTGAACGAGTAAAGGATGGCCGCGTTTCAAGCGTGCAATGTAGAGAAAATAGTCAAAATATTGGATACCTAGGTAAAGACCATGGCTAGAGGAGAGTATTGTGCCTTGATCACACTTGACAAACGCACCTTCTCAACTCAATCCAATCACCACAACCATGACGGCTTGGAAGAGAAAGGTGTTTCCGTTTCTGTCCGCATGGACCTCAGGAAGTATCAGGTGCCTTGGGAGACCTACCTACCTTGTGATTGACTGTGTTACATCTTGGTCACACCGAACGTGCCTACCTCAACAGCGACATCATTGTCTAGTCAATGCATCGTCTAACACGCTCAGCTAACATACTGACTCGGTTGGTATCAAGATGGCAATGCTAATGATAGACAGGAAAGCTGCCTGCACCTCTAAAGCAGCACCTCTGTGCAAGGCCCAAAACCCACTAAGCTTCTCGAGTATAAAGCTCGGAATGCAACACTAAGAGGAAGGTGCTGCAATGTTATATTACATCTTCACTATCCGTTGCGTTTAAGTGTTAGTGAGAGGTAGTCACCTGTAGGTGCCCCTTGGCCCCTATAATATCGGAACAAATTGTTCCCGTGCCCGAGCTACCCCTCCAAAGCCGCTGCTGAAGGCAAGTAACGCGTCACTTGTGGAAGACTAGTTGCGGCCTACTAGCTTACCAGCACCTGTGATCGAGACCATATTCCAACAGCTCATTCCGAAGACATGGTTTCTCAGAGACTTTTGTCTCAAGAATGGGTTTGCCGCTCAGAATGAATAACCTCCATGCACCAACTGTCCCCTCGGGACCATCCTCGGGGCCTGCTAGCAATGGCGGGGCGGCACACCTCACCTTCAACGAGCTGCAGCGCAAGAAGGACAATATCGAGGCTGAGTTGAAGGCTTTGAGTGGTGTCCTGGACTCGGTAATGCGGCCATAGGTCCCATATTGGATGATGATGGCTAACTTAAGCTTTGCAGCACGGTGTCGACATGAATACGAGCCTTCTTACGCCGGACGGATTCCCCCGAGCAGACATCGACGTTGCGCAGAGTAAGAAATGCTACTAAACTGCAAGAGGATGCGGATGCTGATCTATGGTGCTAGTTCGCACCACACGAGCTCGAATCATCCACCTACGAAACGATTACAAAGATTTAATGTCACGGATCGAGAAGCATCTGCATGAGCACTTTGCAAGTCTTCAAGACGCAGAGGAAGGACCAGCAGTCGCTTCGAACAATCGAGAGCCTGCGCTCCACGACTCCATCCCCGAACAACTCGATCGACCTTTCGCAAAGGTAAATAGCGTGGTGACGGGTAGCCCTGCCGATTCAGCAGGCTTGAAGCAAGGAGATCTGATCCGCAACTTTGGATATGTCAATCATTCCAATCACGACAGCCTCAAGAAGGTGGCGGAGTGTGTACAAGGCAACGAAGGAGTAAGTGACAGCAACCGAGACCATGGCCGAGCAGCACAGGCAAACGATGCTGACAAGTCCCAGCAAAATGTCCTCGTGAAAGTTTCCAGGAGTACTGGCTCTGGACAGCTTCAAGAATTGCGTCTGACTCTAACGCCGCGAAGAAACTGGGGAGGAAGAGGGTCGCTGGGGTGTCACATAGTACCGATCTGATGCTCTTCGATATCAAAGAGTGACTAGGGCCGAAGAAAACGGATGCTTAGAAAATTGCAACGCGGACCATGACGGCACTAATGGAAGTAAGGTGTCTCCAGGCATCGAAACGGAGGAAGTGGGTAGAGATGGCTCATTGCATGGATGATCGCCTGGGCAAGAGCTAAGGCAGTGACGGATGTAGACAGGTCGCTGTAACCTAGAGTAGATACTTGTCTAATCCAACGTAGCAGGTATGGATGTTGGCGATGTTGGATCAGGCAGAGGTGAGCTGCCTTGTCGAGATAATAAGGCAGCACCTGGAGCTGAGAAAGATGAGGCATGAATCAAATCAGAAAATGACCACGAGAATCCAATTGATGTGGCAACTGGTGTACAGTTGGCATTGTGATGCTAACAGAGTCATATAACCTGGTCGTTGGGTACTGATAGAAATGGTAGCTGGTGGCATTGCCAGCTGTAACCGTCTCAACTTGCCACGATCATGTAAGAGTATAGAGTCACCTCACTGGAGGTACTAAAAATGTGTAGAAAGGGAGACTTTGTACCTTGGGTGGTGCCAGATGCTAGAAGAGATTGCCCCACTCGTTGGGACGGCTCTCGAAATCACGATTTATGGCACGTGCTCAGACCGCCGCCCAAGAACCAAGATTTTCGCTAAGGCACCTTCCCCTCCAGAGGCTTCTGTCCCTCAAAAACCATCGCTGTCTTCCCCGAACCTCGTCAGTGAATTCTTCCTTCCTGACTCCACCACCCACGATATCATCTCGTTTGCGAAGGTATGCTACTCAACTAATTCCCAGTACCTCAAACTCGATTACGGATCTCTTCGCCTTTTCGAACTTGATCTAGCCAGGTGCACTGACATTTGCGCCCCAGCTTCCCCCGCCTTGTTTACATCACTCCGCCATCTTTGCATCTATCGCAAACATGGCCGCCGCTCAACAGCAGGTCCCTACCTTCAAGCTCGTGCTTGTCGGTGATGGTGGTACTGGCAAGGTAAGCCAAATTCACTGTCTTTATGGCTGATCCCTCGATTCCCTGGGCTTATCGCGCATCTTATTTGGCGGGGCTGCAGTCATCATCGTGACAGCTTCGCAGCAGAACAACCAACTAATATGCTGTTTTTAGACCACCTTCGTCAAGCGCCACTTGACTGGTGAGTTCGAGAAGAAGTACATGGCTACTCTCGGTGTCGAGGTCCACCCTCTTGGCTTCACCACGGTCAGTAATTCGTTGCCAACTCTCCTAGGCTTCCAACTAACGGTTTTGGTAGAACTTCGGCCAGATCCAATTCGATGTGTGGGACACTGCTGGTCAGGAAAAGTTCGGTGGTCTGCGTGATGGCTACTACATCAACGGCCAGTGTGGTATCATCATGTTTGACGTAACCTCCCGAATTACCTACAAGAATGTTCCCAACTGGCACCGTACGTGAAGGCACTATTCTTTGGATTTGGCATGGGTGGCTAACAAATGCAACAGGTGATCTCGTCCGCGTCTGCGAAAACATCCCCATCGTTCTCTGCGGTAACAAGGTTGATGTCAAGGAGCGCAAGGTCAAGGCCAAGACCATCACCTTCCACCGCAAGAAGAATCTCCAGTACTACGATATCTCCGCCAAGTCCAACTACAACTTCGAGAAGCCTTTCCTCTGGCTCGCTCGCAAGCTTGTCGGCAACCCCGCCCTGGTAAGGTTTTAGATTTATCTATTCAGTAACATGGACCGCTGACATCTATTCTACAGGAGTTCGTCGCTGCCCCGGCTCTTGCCCCGCCCACCGCCGTTGTCGATGAGGCTCTCCTCGAGCAGTACCGGAAGGAGATGGACGAGGCTGCTGCCATGCCTCTGCCTGGTGAGGAGGATGATGATGACCTGTAAACGGCTCAATGATCGCATGACATGATTTTGGGGCGGCTTCAGAATGAAAAGATTACGGGTTGTCAAATGTTGGTCACAGGCAAATTGCCCAGCTCAGCGACATTTTTGGGACAGGCCAGATTAGATAGTGGACCAGGGTGGCTATTATGAGGACGAAGAGCGTGACTCAACATCGGACACAATGGCTGAGTTCGTTCACATCAACTTTTGATCAAGCATCATCACCTCGAGACTTGGGGGTGGAACTCGGCGTCTTTGCTGCTCTAGCACATCTTAAGTAGACTATTCGCGCAGAAAAATCGTCCATTTCCTTGCGACTTTGCTTCCTTGACTTTGAAAAAACTATCGTTCTACTGACAAACGTAGCAAACGACCGTAGTACATCATCAGGTGGCGGAGGAACTGGTTGGGCTGAGAAGGCGGTGAGCCAAGCTCTTTACTGAAGGCGAATGGTGGGGCAATTTCTGAAATTTTGGCATGATGTCAAACACTCACCCCTCTTCGAGCTGCATTCAGCTCGGGCTTTGTCAGCTCCAACCGTTGCAATGGCAACCAGTCCGGCACAGTGGGTCCCGTCCGCGGCGAACACCTCGCACCGTGCCGTCTTCCCGGAGGTTCGCATAGTGTTGAAGCCAAGCTCACCAAAGTCCTTACCTTTCCAGTCTAAGACTGAGCATTCATACCTAGAATTGATCTGCCCCTATAACTCGGACTCTTTTTGATTATGCTGTAGTGGCGGTACCGACAACTTCTTACCTATAACTGTTGGGAACCCCTATTGTTAGTGAGTATCTAAGCGGCTGATCGGACGGACGTCAACGGGATATAATGTGACAAAACTATGACATCTATACTACAACTCATCAATTATCATTGACCTCGAGTAGGTGGCAGTCTCTCATCTGGCAGAATCCCTAGTCGCCGACAGCGGGAATCGCTCCCGATTGAGGCGGATAGGCAATATCAAGCCGCTTCATTCGTATTATCCGATTCGCCTTTACAGCTGACTTGCTCCATCCCCAGTTATCCTCTTCAAGATCTTATCATCACAGTGGCATAGAAGTGCTGTTCTCCCTTTGCTACCCTTGAAACTGCCATTCCACTTGAAATGTTGCGTCAAAGACTTGTCACGGTCGTTGCCCTAGCTTGAACGAATAAACTTATTGTAGCGTCAATCGAGTAGATCCATACTCGCTTCTTTGCACAATGATACTGTTACGGCTTCATCTGTGGCTGATACACTTTTTTATGACCTGTCATGGTTCTTCTTGGTACAGACGGCCAACGCTCCGGACCCTGCACACAGAGCCCCCGCACCTTGTGAAGGGGGGCTTGGGAAAGGTTCAGCGACATCAGATACTGACACAGCAGAATGCTACTGTTCGATACCAAGAACCGGGTATCTGTGATACCACAGATGGTGTCAGATTCTTCTCAGGATATGTAGATCTAGGCGAGGAAGCGCACACATTCTTCTGGTTCTTTGAAGCAAGAAACAATCCCGGAACAGCTCCAGTCACCCTGTGGCTAAACGGCGGGCCTGGAAGTGACTCCCTAATAGGACTTTTCGAAGGTCATAGCAGTTCTTTTCACCTGAGCTCAATCTAAGATATGTGTTGACGCTGAGTAGAAATTGGACCTTGTACTGTCACCCCCGATCTCAACACGACGGTAAATCCATTCTCGTGGTCTGAAGTGTCAAACTTGCTGTTCATTTCACAGCCCCTTGGAGTTGGCTTCTCTTACGCCACAGAAGGAGAAAGCGCGTCACTTAGCATTGACAGAACAAGTATCGCCGCTGAAGCTGCTTGGAATGTTCTTCAGGCCTTCCTGTTTGAACTTCCACAATTTGACGCCAAGCCGGCATCAAGGAATCTAAGTCTCTGGACAGAGAGGTCGGTACACCTGCATGCTACACAACACGTTAGTTTAGCTGATTGGGTCAAGTTATGGAGGCCATTACGGACCAAGTAGGCGTCTGAATTTGTGTTTTGATAATGTTATTGACCAGTCGAGAAGCTTTCTATCGATATTTTTATACACAAAATGAGCTAATTAAAAATGGGACTCGGCTTGGAATCGAGATTGAGCTGAATACTCTTGGGATCGGCAATGGTATCATTGACGCCGCAACGCAATTTCCTCTCGTAGGCAATAGCATATTCACCTCTTTTAATCAGTGCTGTTCATGAGCTGATTTACTAGTACCCAGAATTCGCAACGAACAACACATATGGCATACAAGCAGTCAACGATGACAGTACGTACTTCACATGTGAGAGGAAAAGTCCTTTCTTGACCTTGCTAGTTTACACTTACATGAATTATGCCTGCTACATGTACAACGGTTGTTTGGATCAAGTATTTCGCTGTAGCCAAGCTGTTCGTAGAGATAGAACCAGGTTGGTGGATGTGCCTTAGCAAAACGCCGTGCTAAATCAAACCAGTTTGAACGCGAGAGCTGCGTGCACAGAAGCAGCAAATATGTGTTCGTCAAATCAATGAGCCTCGGAAGACAGAGTCTAATCAGAAGTCAAGGTCGAGATAATGTAGAGGGCCCTTATTACGCTTACAGTGGACGGAGTATGTACGACATTCGACAGCCTGATGCATTTTCCGGTAGACCCGACTTCTTTGTCGATTTCTTGAATCTACCATCGACGCAAGAAGCGTTAGGTGTGACTGTGGGGTATTCATACAAATCGACAAACAATGATGTCTATCTGGCATTTCAACAGTCCGGCGACTATGTCTATCCCGATTACCTTGAAGATTTGGAATTCTTGCTGGACAAGGGGATTAGGATCATGTCTGTCGGCCCCACTAGAACAAGTCGCTCATGGCTGACTTGATCTAGATTGATGTACGGAGATGCAGACTATATCGGCAACTGGTTTGGTGGCGAGGCTGTGTCAAACGCGGTCAATTACACGCAATCAGCCTTCTTTCGAGAGAGCGGTTATAAGCCGCTGAGCATTGGTGGTTTTGAGACTGGTAAGGTCAAGGAGTACGACAACTTCAGCTTTGTTGTTGTGTACGAAGCTGGCCACTTCGTCCCTGCGGAGAAGCCAGATGTCGCACTTGAGATATTCCGAAGAGCTATGGAGGGACTTGATATTGCAGAAGGGCAGACGAAAGTGACGGACCAGACAGCGATACCTTTCCCCGCAGATACACCACTGCCGACAACGATCTCATTCCCGACTTAGGAAACACCCGCGGATGGTGGTTTGATAGAGGGCTAGGGACAGGAATGCGCATCGATTGGGCTTGTCTCCCATTTCGCCGAAGCAGTAATACCGATGGCAGCAAATGAAGCGCATTTGTGACGCGCAGGCTCCTGGGTTGAGGTTGAGACCAGCAAATTAAATGGCTAATGATTGGATCGGCAGCCTACCGAGGAACTCCAACGACCCAGGCATCACAGAGATGCAAGCTGAAGGCGATTCGAGATTCCTCAATGCCATGGGGGAAATGAGAGACAGACACAGCTGCGTGTTAGAGTGCAGAGCGGGCAACAACGCGACTAAGGAAAAGCACGGGTCGCGGGTCGTCGCGAGTGTGGATATTAAGGTTAGCAGTGATTTCGTCTAAATTATATCGCCCTAGAGACGGAGGGGCAAGCGTGACTTGCAGGTATTGACTTGCTTTCCCAATCGGGCAATCAAAACTCGCAAACGCGCGACGTGAGTGGCTGGAGCCGAACGCGGAGAAAAAGCAGGTACCATGTACTTGCCGACCGCGCTTTTTGCTACGGCAGGGGCAGGGACACAGTGACCCGCACCCGCTTCTTGCTGCGCTGGGCTGCGCTGGGCTGCGTACCGCGCCCGCCTGCAAACCACGACCACGACCTTTGACGTGAACGTGGGTCCTCGCCTGCGTCCCTCTTTTAGAGTGGCCAAGCTGCCCGTCCTGCTCCTCCAGTGCTTCCCCAGCTAAAACACCCAGAACACCTTCTCGACTTCACGCGATCCTGTTCCTCCTGCTTCTTGTTTTGGCTCTTCTCCTCCTACCTCCTCTTCACCACCCCGGCAGCTTAGGAAGGCCCTCGCGTCACTCGTTTTACCAATTGGCCTCCTACCCACACTGCGATGCATGTATAATTGGATTCAAGTCCCCTCGCACCCATCATGTCCAGCCAAGCCTCCTCCCCCGCGGCTTCTCTCAATCCATCTCAAGAGAGCAATGTAGCCGAAAGTTCCAGCTCTCCTAATAGCAAGAACGACTCAAGCATCCTTTCTCAAGAGTCATCCCAGCTAGATCCAGACTCTTCAGCCCTCAGTGCGGAAACAGAGCGCCATCCCAAAGGCAAGAGGAAAAGAACCGCGTATGTGCCTTCAATGCCCCTTCCGCTGCCAATCACAGACTCCAAGGATTTTCGAGGTCTTTTGGACTAACGCGTTGCCTTAACATGTAGTGCAAAGGACAAGGCTATTCTTGAAGATGCCTACAACACCAACCCGAAACCCGACAAGGCGGCGCGTCTAGATATCGTGAACCGCGTTTCTCTAAACGAGAAAGAAGTGCAGGTATGTATTACGACTGCCAAACCTCACTTTGTCAACCTACTCCAAGAATTGATTCCACTAACGCCCACTCTTGTAGATATGGTTCCAGAACCGTCGTCAGAACGACAGGCGCAAGTCGCGTCCTCTGTCTCCCCAAGAGATCGCAGCCCTCCGCTACGGCGGCATGCAGGTCCTATCCTCCGATCCGATACCGTTTAATTCTGCTAGCAGCACACACGTTCCGAGCTCTTCTCCTGTACAAATCAGCCTGGCCCCCGTTGCCACCACACCACCAATGACCTCGCCGTCCGGCATGGAGCAGCTAGTCGAGAGACGCGACCAGGATGTCGCGGCGTCGTCACCAAGATCCGAACCACCAACATCGTCCTCTCACAGCAACGAACACGGAAACGTGTCTCTTGCTCATTCCTTCTCCAGCTCTGTTGGGTATCTGGCGAACCGGTGGAATCCCGGAAGCTCCTTCTCGACGCCATCAAGCCTCACTCGTCATAATGCAGACGACCCTCAACAGTAAGACTTATTGCCCTTTACCAAATGTGAAACAGTACTGACTAGCCATTAGAATCGAGGTGTTGTCCTCATCTTGTCCATCCGTTACATCTTCTGGGCACATCCTTCCTCCTCCTCACTCATCACAGGTCCGTCTGGCCTTGTCATTAGAGGGCAAGGCCGAACTCGTCTCATCTCTGCCATCACCACCTCGCGTCGACCCGCCTCGTCCGTCGCCCTCTGCTCTTTCTGACGGTTCATTCCCTCCAATCCGTCGCCCAAGTCTTCAACGAAGCCACAGCGCTCTGCCGTCTATCACACTGCCCCCAATCTCTACTCTTACTGCCGCTCTCAGCTCGCAGTCGCCCGCTCAACCGCAAGCGAGCCTTCCCCCTCGCTTGAACCGTGGACGTTCTCGTGATGTGCATGCGTGGGAGTTCTGCTGTGATGCGGACAGTGCTCCACGCGAGGATGAGCTCATGGCCCAGGCAGAGCATGAATCTAGCGGCTCTGCCGTTGCTGCTATTAGCTTGCTCCGTTCCACAAGCTCCACAGCATCTAACGTTCTCCAGCCCAATGGTGCGAAGCGCAACGCCTCTACAAAGCCGCGATTCAATGATATGCATCGTGCTAAGAAGGCTAAGCTCGGCCGTGCATTGAGCAGTGTTGGCCGCTTGCAGACGAACTTCGATACAGTGAAGGACAGGCCTACTGTTCATCAAGTTACAGAGACTCTATCAGAAGAGAAGGAATCGGATGATGGGAAGAAGGTCAAGGTCTCAATGCTCGTATCTCCGTCCGAGAACGATTCTGACAAGGAAAACTGGAGCCCTGGCGAGGATGGAACCTCTCAAACTCGAAGCATCTCACGTCTCATGAGCAGCAGACGACCGCTACCGGGAGCCGCACCGAAGGGCCAATCAAATCCGCGCCGAACTCTCGGGCGCATCTTGCAGGAGCAACGTGGGCCGGCATTCTTGGCTGGGAGCCGTGCAAATACAGCGCCATCACTGGGACGCCGAAAGGGAGCGGCTCAGGTTGAAATCTTGGAGGACAGGGAGAATCCATCTACTGGACATTCTGTTCCGGACGAGGAGGTCGAGCGCTTCATGCGCGGCGAGGTTAGCCCCAGCAAGAAAGGCGATATGGACGGTGTCATGGGACTGCTTTCCCTGAGCCAGGGAAATTGGCGCTGAAAAGTGTCTCCCCGAGTATCAGTTGGACATCCGGCAGTGCGGGCATCGCTTCTATCTCGAAAGAGGATAGTCGCCTTGTTTAAAACGAGGTCCCAGTTACAGGCTCTTCAAAAGCTTTGCTTGTCAGCGAGGGATCGCTGTATAAACACCAGAGCACAATGATTTGATGAGACATGTTAGGCCGTCTTCCGTTTTATGTCACGTATCGGAATTGCTTGATTGGTCTTTACTTGTCTTCTATACCCCTCTCTTGTGAGGGATAGTCAACAACTTGGAGGCTGGTTCTGTATTTGTCTGTTGGCAGCTATTTGAGAAAGGCTGCCCAAAATTTGCGGGAAAGAGGATGAACGGATCGGGAGCATGGATGGCGTCGAATGGATGGATGTTGGTTTGATTGCAGTCATTAAAGCAATGTCTCGAGACAATGTTGTAGGAAGTAATAACAAAGCAAACAATATTGTGCAAATAAGACACCAGTGAGACCTGCACCTTCGAGATCGGCGCTTAAAGGGAGAACCACTGCTGCAATGTATGTTTGTTGGTTTGGTGCCTCATGGTGATTGGTGAGCCCTATCGCGTGTCATCAGGCCACATCGACGTCAACCAGCATACGCTCTGGCATGGCATGGGGGTTTGAAGAGCCTCAAATAATGGGGCAAGACGACACTTCAGCGTGTTCGTGTTCACATTCATTCAGCTTGGACGAGTTGATTTATTGTCATGAAATCGATTGAGCGATGGCTGACTGATGACTATCTAGAGAAGGAAAGCCCCATGTGATGGGGGCCGGCTTGTTTATAAGGTATATGATAATGATTTGACGCAAGCAATGCTGTGCTATGCTTTTTCATGAGAAAGATCTTCTTTTCCGTACGTTGACACTGCCCTCCCAGAGGGAGTGCAGTGGAACCCAAGTGAGAAAATATAGCAGGTCCCATTGTCCATCCCGAATGGCATCGATACTCCCTTGAACTCCGTGTCTGAAAATTGTAGTAAAGACGGCTTTCAGCGTTCTGCTTTGCTCGTGATAATGATGATGATGATGATGGCCCAAGCTCCCAAAGTCAAAAGTCTAATGATGATAATCTTGATGGTCGTAACGTCTTGCTTCACATGCCTAGGAGAGACATCTGTCGTCTCAAAGGGCTAGCACTGATGCTCCCCTCTTCGCTGGCGTAGCATGCCGAGTCAGTGTCAATGTCCCACTCGGCCTCGTCGTCTTCCTTGCCGTTCTCGCTGTTGGCGCTGCTGCTGTCGCCTGGGAGGAAGGCCTTCTGGGTGGCGGCGCGGGTGTTCCAGCGCAGGGTGCGCGACACAGAGTCGAACCACTCAGTGTCGGTTCGTGTGACGGTGGGGAAAGGGTACTGCGAGGCGGTGATGGTGACGCAGTCGCCTTGGCGGAGCTCCACGCGGCCCTTGCCGTCGAAGGCACAGTAGGCTGTAGCGCGGCTGTTGCGAGGGATAGATACCCTCAGGAGCATGGTGTCTGAGAGAACCATGGGGCGGAATGAGAGCGTGTGCGGGCAGATAGGAGTGAGAAGAATAGCAGGGATGTCAGGATGGACAAGTGACCCGCCAGCGGACAGTGAGTAGGCTGTTGATCCTGCAAAGCATGTTAGTCAAAATAATTCGAGGTACGGGTCCATGTACATGTAGAGGCTTACCAGTCGGTGTGGAGAAGATGCAGCCATCCGCCTGGACAACAGTCAACAGCTCATTGTCACCGTAGAGCTCCAAGTTGGAGACGTACGGCGACGGGCCGCGGTCGATAACGAGCTCGTTCAAGACTTCGAACTGCTCGCCCTCCTCCATCTCCTGACCAAGAGCACCATCTCGGTACACGGTGCACGTGAAGCGCATGCGCAAATTAACGCGCATGCCGTCATCACCCATGATGCGGCTCAGGTGGTCCTTATACCGCTCAAACTCGAAGCTAGTCAAGAATCCGAGACTGCCGAGGCTGAAAGACAAGACAGGCGGCACGATTCTCTGGAACAGCCACGAGGTGAACAGAACAGTGCCATCACCACCCAAGGTCAACACAAGATCGAACTTCTCCGGCTGGCTCCAGCACAGATCCGGAGACCAGTACTTGAGCATATGCTGGAAGCGCGGATTCTCCTCAACGATGCTAGCAGCACCAAAGCGCTTGGAGTTGCGTAATTTGGCATCCACATAAACGTTGACGCCGAGGTCGGAGCCATATCGCGGAGTCCTCAGCAGCCATTGTGTGAGTTCGCGAGTGAGCAGGACCAGCTGGTTGTCTCGCGCCTTGGTGACAATCATGATGTTCCTGACGGCGCGCTTGATTGGTCTTCGCTGCAGCTGCTTGGAGACCTCACGTACACCGGTAGCGGTCTGCACGAGGCGCGAGTGGGACATCCACTCATCGTTCTTGATTTCCTCCAGGACCTTGTCGATATCCACTGCATCGTCGAACCTCTGGTGATAGAAACATGGTGACTGGAGGGAAGGTAAGGCGGTTGTGGGAGTGTTTGTGCGGTTTGCGAGGTCATTTAAGGCATCGCATAACTGCGAGGAAGATGTACCGGGTCGGCGTTCGACCCCACCAGAGGTAGCGGACAACATCCCGGAAAGAGATAGAGCTTCAGGCTTATTGTTGCGTGCAACCGAGGCCAAAGCTTTCATAATAGTCTGTCGCGGGACAGACTCGATGGAGCGGGCGTTCTTGCGGTGACCTAGAGACTGTTGCCGACGGTGGCCAGGAGCAGTGGACTCGGGAGAGGCGAGGGAGGCACATGCACCAGCTACAGCAGGTTGGCTGGTGAGGCCATTTGCTGTTGTGGTAGTTGTTTCGCTCAGAGAGAAGTGAGATGGCGAGGAACTTGTGGCGGTGGAGGTCCTGGGACGGTCGCAGGTGGCGGCGTCTTTGAAGTTATTATAATTGTCGCTTGTGGTAGTAGTAGAGCCATGGGGACGCTGCAGAGGAGGCGGGAGGTCGGCCGGATTACTGAGGGCCGGGTGGATCGAAGTGGGTGATAGAACAAGTTGGTCGGACATGGTCGCAGAGGGGGATGGAGATAGCAGGAGACCCCGATCGAGACAAGGTCGGACTGACTGAAGGATGTGTGGTGGTGGTGGGGCACGGCAAATCAAGCTAAGCTAGGCCGTGTACTGTAGTGCAAGTTTACCTAGCACTTAGCTGTCTCAGTGACTTGGACTCCCTGTCAATGTCACTGTCACTCTGCTCTTCAGGCGGGCGGGGTTGGGCGGCGGGGTGTGTGTCCCTTGTAAATGTCGGTTATTTTGGGCAATGCTGGGCGTCGCAAAGCGCTCTCGATTGGCTGGCTGTCCAGGCTTTGGCTGAAAGGAATTTGCTTCAGATGAACAGGAAGAGGGACTTGTGATCACCGGAAGTGATTACAAGTGCGTAAGTGTCTTGTGTGTCTTGCTGCTTGCTGCGGGTGGACTGGATGGGGGAACCAGGGAGTTCCGTCCGCGGCGTGGTGGTGTAAGTTTGCGTGCGTGCGCCTGCGTGTAGCCGTGTGTGTGTGGAGGTTACAAGGCCTAAACCCGAGGGGACCACAGGGGGATAGTGCCGGATCTTACGGAACGCCGAAGAAACGGAACGGGCTGATTGATAAACGATGCTGCAGTCTGCACTCTGCAATGCACGCTGCTTTTGGGGCGGTACCGGGAAGCGTTGATCGGATTATCGCTGGTAGCACGAGGAATAGAGTACGGTGAATAGATTGGACTGGACTGGACTGCAAATGCACGCAAGTCGCGGTCCCAACACGGCGTTTTTATCAACGTCACCTTGGACGGAATGGGCAGAGTCTGGTGATCTCCTGTCAAAGAAGCCCCGTTTCCCCAAGATCGAGAAATGGCCCGCTGCGGACAAGGTGTCGGCTCAGAAGCCCGTAGATTCAACCCGAGTAACGTGACGGCCTACAAACATCACCACACCTTTGTCAGCTTAAGCACCACGTTTAAGCACCGTAGCTCGATCCCTCCAGCGGGCCGTTCCAACCCTCCAATTTGTTGCGTGCGCCGACCACCACCGGGATAGGGCATTGGGTGCTTACCGGTAAGATAGTCTCCTTCTGATCTAGCAGAATGAGAAGAGCCCAATTGACAGCAGGGGACGAGAACGTTCCAAAGCTACCAGGAGAGTCGAGAAGCGGTGACCTCCCCAGTTTGTGATCTCAACCACCTCAAAGCCTGATGCGATTGGTGCTGGGCGGTGTGATGTGATCTGAAGTGCAGAGACGACTGCACGTGGTGCCAGATGTTCGCGAACGATAACAGGACGAGGTAAAAATAGGTCTGCCGGTGACTGACGAGTGAATCGGAAGAAGAACCAAGGGGGGTATCTCAGAAGCAATATCGCACTGATCTATAAGGGGATATCCGTATGTACTGTACTTCGACGCCAGGTCTATATGTTTAATGTAATGTATATGCTGCCGCTAGATGCACGAAAATGGAAAGATGTAGTCGAAAGCAGAAAGGTCTAGATAAAAATTGCGAAGCGATGCAATGAACAAATTTTGGTAGAAGAAGAGAATTTTGTAAGTCTTTCAAAGATGAAGATTAAAAAGTGAAATTGTATAGTAAAGAGTCGGAAGTCGAAGTTCGAAGAAGTGGATGAAGTCGAAGAGCGGGCGGATGGCACAGACAGAAGAGAAGAGGCACCGAGGTAATTGCAAGAACTACCAGAGCTCTGCTACAGCTGTTTGCCAAAGAGGGAAGGGGTGAGAAGGAGAAGGAGGGGAAGAAGAAGAAGAAGGTTGAAAGACCGGATCGTCAAGCTGGGCCAACTGAATGAAGACTGAAGACCAAAAGGAAAGAAGACGCCTTCACGATATGCCGCACTGGCGGGTTTAATATGTGGTACTGGGTCTTGACGATCATGGAGATGCGGCAAGGGAAGCACGGGATGTGGATTGGGGGGGAGGACCCGCTGTGCCGCTGAGGCTGGGATATGATATATCTCACAGCTGGATGCCCGCCTCAGACGCAGTACGTACCACTCACTTCAACTATTTTGCTACCCAGACAAGCCAGACTAGACAGTCCCCTTGTCCGAATATCTTGAGAATATGTGGTTAGGTGTCCCCGGCAGTGGAGATCCTCGTGGGCATGCAGAGCACATCCCGTCAAGGGTTCGAGGCTCAACCGGCAAATCAGACGGTCCAGAAGGCCAAGCTGTCAACCGTGCAACCTGGAAGGATACCCGCAGCTATGCAACGCTTTAACCCTTGGGAAATGCAGGTAGAACCGGGAGCAAGAAACACGAGGCTTGGAGACGGCTTGTTGATAGGATAGGCGGCCCAGGGATGCTCTTCAGAAACCTTAACACAACGCTGTTATCTTCTGCCAGGCTCAGGCACGGAGCAAACATCCTCTTCCTTGCAGATGGTCTAGCCTACCCAGTAGTTGTGGTCTGGAGCCCGTCGAGACGGGGGCATTTAGGGGAGGGTTTGCCTAGGGTTTGCCCAGGGTTCAAAGCCTGTAGCGGGCGTCTAAGCCAGAAGGGGAGCTGAGTCTAGGTCCTTAACTTGCCTCAAGTCTTGTGTCAGGGCGTTTTTGCCAGGGTCTGGAGGCGAGCTCGGGAAGGGGAACGCTAGCGCTGCAACCCGTCTCAAGTCCGGGATTTCCACTTGCGAACTCCCTTGCCCGCTGGAGAAGCCGCTGTTGGAAGCTTGTGTCCACAGCCGCCGCATTAACACATCCAAGACCCTCGTGGGTAGTCTTGTTTGGAGTGATTGCTTCTTATCTCACGACGAATTGCAAGGCCTGTCATAATCGCATCTTCACGATGATTGTTTGACCTCTGCGGATCTTACACTGTGGCGCCAATCAAGCTCTGTTCAAGCTACGATCATTCTGTAGTCGAAGCTCCAACGAACCGGCCGCCTAAATGGAGAGACACTCTGCTTTGGGGCAGCTCCCGCCACCCTTGCCGTTGCCTCCAACCAAAGTCCATCCTTGCCAGTCTGTGGCTTGAAAAGCCTATCAATTTTCCATTTTGTGAAGAAAAGCTGCTGTTCCTATTTCTGGAGCCCTGTCGCTTTAGTCTGCAATAGGCACCAGGATACCGAGGGGCATTCTGACAAGCCTCTAGCATAGCGTATGGGGGATGAAACAGCGCCTCAATCCACAAAAGTGACAGTCCCAAACACGGCCGTGAGTAGACCCACCAGTGTTTGAGCGCGATAGACACGGTCTTTCTCCCCACTGATACTGCGACGCAATTCAGGAGAGTCAAGAGCGAGTGAGAAGGCGTAACACAGCACGTTTGCCGTCCTACCCGCTGACCGCCGCGTCCGGCCCGCCGAGAACTATGCCGTAGCGTGCCGTCCCCTACAGGTCTAAGACTCCAATTCTCTTGGTAACAGGAGAATCGGACGATTTCGAGCATTCTGATGCGCTCGCGTTGCAAGTTGACCTTCGAGAAGTGTTATACCCTCAAGTAAATTCATGCTCGCGTACGTCACTCAGCACCTGGCGGTTGTCGAGACAGCGATAACACTGATGGACAATATCACCTCACTTCCAGTGGAGATCAGAAGCCACTTTGGCTTCTAATGCTGAGCGAATGAAGTGTCGTAGGTCGGGCCCCTCCGAGTTTTCATCATCCAAAATCATATCGACGCCAGCCTTCTTGCTGGTTTCGCAACAGATCCGCTTTGCTGTGTCGTGAGCACCCTGCCATTCTTCCATCGAGAAGTCGCCTTCGCTCTCCACTAGGAGCAGCTCATCATGCGAGGTGAAGGCGAAGACGTGAGTAGATTGCGCGTCCTCCCCCTCGCGGGGAGAGGGGTCTGCTACAAATTTGCTGTTCCCATCCTCGATAACAACTGATACGGCGGTTGCTGTCGCTGTCGTCTTGAGGGGTATACCTCCAGAAAGCAAAGCGAGCACCGCAGTCTGTAACAAGGCTGGTACGATAGGCAAATTCTGATATTTTGGGTTAGCATCTGCGTGTTGCAAAATCATGAGCAGGAATAGTGTAGTGACAAGAATTAGTCGGAGAATGCGTACCAGGCTGGCTTGGACCAGTTTTGTGTTGGCGTATTCATTCTCAGGTGAAGTGGTGATCTGAAGAACAATCTGGATGAGAGATCGAGGAAAGTTCTTCACGAGGATGATCTGCTTTAAAGACGACTGCAGAATCGACTCGAGATGTCGTTCTCTTGTGCCTATATATACGGAAATGAATGAGCTGATAAATCCTCGTGTGGCTTGGCACCGAAACACTGACCTCCGACCCCTGCTACCGGTCGTACGATGACATCGACGAGGGCCTCATACGGGTGCTCATCCCGTCTTTGAGCCTCGATGGGTCCATTCGCAGATGCGGTGATGGTGTAGCCTGCATACGAGTATGTCGCGGAGCCGTCTGCCTTTGGCAATGGAGACAGAGCGGCCTCTGGCTGACCCGAGACCGTCATCTTTGCTTCGGTGGACGAGGATGCTTGATGAAAGAGTCGATGAGGCTCTGCGAATAAAGTTTTTGCTCTTACTGTGATGTGCACCTTCTTGGTATGCAAGCTACCGCCCGCCTACACCTTCTAAAAATGATTTCATAGGCCTAAAGTGTGCCCCGCAGTTTAGCGTTGCTGCAAGGTCCCAGTGGCGCGAAAATCGGTCGATTTCTAAGCTCTTGAGACAGCTCCTTTGACCCCTCCAACATCAACCAACTATCCATCGAACGACTCCAGCCCTGCCACCTCGAATATGGCTCCAGCAACTACAAATACAAGTCCTCCAGGGGAGCAGCGGTCAGCTCCGACTGCAGCAGGCGTCGCTACACCTAATCTCAGGGACAAGCTCCCCAAGCTCGAGCCGCGCAAGCGACGAGCACCTCCATCGAACCCAACCCCATTGCCAGAGACCCCTGCGCTTCCGCCTCCGCCGGCAGACCCGTCACAACTCAGCTTCAAGGTTCCTACAAGAAGGATATTATCAAAAGAAGACCACGATTTATTCCTGGCTTCACCAGCCCATGACCTCATACAAGCCTGGGTGTTTGGCCTCTCAGACGCCGTTGCAGACACGCCAATATCGGCTGTCGAGGACGCCGAGCTCAGCACGCCTATAAAGACCATCCTCAAGATATTGGACCAAGCCGAGGAACTTGTTAGGCTGTCACCGCCAGACGACCAAGGAGGCTCCAGATTTGGCAATAAAAGATTTCGCGACTTCCTCGATAAGGCGAAGGAGGAGGCGCCATCATGGCATCGAGGACTGGGCCTGAAGAACAACGATGCGATCGCGGAGACGTCCACTTATCTGAATCAGTCGTTCGGAAATAGAACCAGAATCGACTATGGCTCTGGCCACGAGCTCAACTTCATGATCTGGCTATTATGTCTATACCAACTACAGGTCATCACAAAGTCGGACTTCAAGGCTGTCGTCCTCAAGGTCTTCACCCGGTACCTTGAGGTTATGCGGGTTATACAGGAGACATACTACCTCGAGCCAGCGGGCTCTCATGGGGTCTGGGGCCTAGATGACTACCAATTTCTCCCATTCCTATTTGGCGCATCTCAACTGTTGCATCATCCTTTCATCACGCCTCGCGCCATCCATCAAGAACTCACACTTGAGGAATTTGGCCACGACTTCCTCTATCTCAATCAGATCAACTTCGTGAATAGCACAAAGACCGTCAAAGGGCTCCGCTGGCACAGTCCCATGCTGGACGACATCTCCTCCGCGAAGTCGTGGGAGAAGGTCGAGGGTGGCATGCGGAGGATGTTCGTGGCCGAGGTGCTCCGCAAGCTTCCCGTGATGCAGCATTTCCTATTTGGCTCACTCGTCCCCGCAGCCGATGGGATGAGCGAGCAGGACGCGGCGGGCGTTGCAGATGAGGAAGATGAGGGCGAAGGTGGCGAGATCAACGTCTTTGAGGAGAACGGCGTGCGGCATGTTCATCAACAGAGTGGCTGGGGTGAATGCTGTGGTATCAAGGTCCCAAGCGGCGTAGCTGCGGGGATGGAAGCCAAGAAGAGAGGCGAAACGCTGCGCAGGATCCCCTTTGATTGAACGGTCTCATCCCATCGGAAGAGATCATTTTGTGTCACGACCGTCACGACCAGGTACGATTGAGAATGAATTATACCAATGCCTTTAATTATCTGATTACCTGTACTTTACCCTATTTGGATCTATGGTGTACAATGCTAAATGCAGCAGCCCAAAACGCCATAATGTATGCCCGAGATATGAAACCGTTTCCGAGTAGTTCTCCGTAGAGAACATCCATTCTAATGATTAACCCTCATAGTCGTTTCATCTTTCTCTATATGCCGATTTCTACGTTGACAGCAGCCTTGACGCTCGTCCCAAGGGCCTTGAGTTCCGCCTTAAGCGATGCCTCGATGTTGAGGCCAGCCCACTCAGGGGCCGTCGGGTCACCGCACTCACGGTCGAACCACCAGTTGGGCTGGTTGTTGTCGATGTCGTCGAGCGCATAGGCCACAGTGCTTCCGTACAGGTCGCAGCGGGGCGCGCCGAGGCTGTTCAGGTAGTAGTCGAAAGACAAGCAGCCGTGCGTGTCACCCCAGACGCTCTGTGAGAGAGGAATGCATGTTAGCAAAGGCGGGAAGGAGATGCAACGAATAGCGGAAAGGCAGCTTACCTCGCAGAACTGGTAGCAGCCCTTGAGCGTGACCGGCACGTTGGCGGCGTTCTCGACGAATCGCCCGATGAAGAAGTCGCCAACAGCCTTGCCGTGGACACCACAGTGGCTGTTCGTCTTCTTGGGTGTTCCAGTGGGGGCATCGGTGGCACAGACGGTCTTGGTCGGCGTCACTGTGGTGGTCACGGTCGACGTCAGGACGGCCTGGGTGACGGGGGTAATGAGGGTGTCAATCACGCAGGTCGTGGTGGTCGACGTAGGCGTGAATGTGGTGGTGACCGCATCCCGTCCAGATGCGCCGGCGCTGCTACTGGTGGTGACAGCGTGGACAGGAACAACAGTTACGACCTGGGAAAGTGTCACTCGGACCGTGCTGGTGCCATCTGGATCGCTCGAGGTGCTACTCAGGTCGTCATCGCAGGGCTCAGTCGTTGCTGAAGCTGACGCAGTCGTTGTTGAGGCATCATCATCACACGGCTCGGTCGTAGTAGCAGCGGCAGATGAAGATGAGCTGGACTCATCGTCGCATGGTTCGGTCATGGTCGGAGACGCAGATGCCCCAGCAGATGTGCTGGTCTCATCGTCGCAAGGAGGGTCTGACACAGTAGCAGTAGAGCTTGTGGCAGTTATGGTAGCGTTGCCAGTCGCATAATGATGAGTGCCATTCTCAAATGGGCATGGATCCTCTGTGATGGTAGGATACGCTGAGCCGGTCAGGTAAGAGGACACAGTGGATGTCACGGATGTGTTCCAGTTGAACCATGAAGTTGTCGTGTTGACATAATGGGCCTCGGTCTTCGGAGGCGGTGCGGATGAGTTGGATGAGAAGCTAGCTGTGACGGTCTGAACATAGTCAAGAGTGGTTGTGATAGTAATAACGCTGAACGAGCAGTCGCTAGCGGTAGGATCGGCTAGGCTTGTTGAGGAAAGCGAGGTGGTGTTCACAAATGGGATGGTAGGATACGTCTCAGCACCCGATGAGGCAGTGGAGGTGACTGTGGTCAAGTTCGGGCTCAGTGTGCTGTTGGTCTTGTAGATATGAGGATGTCTGTGTCCACGCCATACAATACGCTCGGCAGCGCTGTCAGAGTCATGATGAGGAGTCCTCTCGTTGTACTTGGCTTTATAAAACTGATCATCACGGCGCTCAGTGATATCGTCCAGCCTTGCGTTCTTCTGTTTGGCCGTATTAGTACATTGCATGTGAAGGAAGCCACAAAAGCAAATACCTCTACTGCAGCTCTTGGGGCGGCATTCGCTGCAGATAGGAGCGCAGCTGCGCTAAGGAATGTCTTGAAATGCATAATCGAAAAAGAATGACGGAGGTGGCCAACCAAACGAATGGTAAAGAGTGACTGCGCTGAAGGCCGCTGAAGTGCTGATGCTTCGATGATGATCTATCGCAACCGTTTTCACACGGGAAGTCATCTTGGATTTATAGAATACCATCTTGAAGATTGCACTCATTGCGAAGGGAGAGTATGATCCCGTTGTAGATCTATTGTAGATCTATTGTTTATCGAAGGGAGTTGGTAAGGTGAGAGAGATGAAGGGAGTTGGGACTAACCCTAGCAAGGGGTGGACTATTGAGTGAAGGCGGTGGCCTCTCCCTGTCAGCCACCAAGATTCGGACTCCTTGAAAGGCATCGAAACGCACCAACAGGGACAATCCAGGACTTGTTTAATCAATTGCTTTATTGCGCTGCTCAACCCTAATCAATAGACGCAATTGATCCCTTTGCAGAGGTTCAATAGGAAATCCACTACCTAACAAGTGAATCGCATCCATGATCCATTAAAATGCAGATGCAATAGGGTATCAGAACAGGTCCACTAAACGCCAATGTGCCCTTCAGAAATCACAATATCAATCTGCTTACTGGCAGAGCCGCCCTTGAAATTTGTTGATGAGTCGTACGTGGGTATCTGGCTTCCTGGAAATACCAGCTGTCGCAGCCATGACATGCTACAACGGTCCCCTGCAGAAATAGCCTTGTGCTGAGATATGCCACCGATAGCTCAATCCTCCCAAATCGTTTCCAGATCCAGGTCCTGTCTCCGCTCTGCACCGCAGACACTCCAGCGCTTGCGCTTATCCCTTGAGCCAAAGCCCAGAGTCCGACCTCTAGTTGGAGTGTCTGGGTTGCCTTTGCCCTTTGAATCCCCGCCATCAGCCGCATCGGCTGCTGCTTTCAGTTGTGCAATTCTCTCTGCCTCCAGAGCTGCTTCCTCTGCATCGGGTGAGTCTGGGATAGTCTCCAAGCTAGATATGCTTGGGCTCCTAGATCGGGCTGAGATCGGTGTAGAAGGGACCGAGGAGGAGGGGAACGCAGCCGAGAATGAGTAGCTGTCCGAAAGAGAATCGTAGGGTCGGTAAGACGGAGACGATGCAACAGATGATGGAGTTGAAGAGGGTGGAGGCAGCGAACCAGTGCTGGATGTTGCCATCTGCCGGAGTGGAGATGAAGGGCGTCTGGCTCGCCCTAGAGAGCCTACGCCAGCAACGCCCAAGCTCGGTGAGCTGCTCCTTTCCGGCACTCTGCGTTCCGGATCCAAGACAGATGTGCGGGTAGGAGAGGGAGGCGGCATGGCCTCATCAACTGGTTTCCTCGGAATTCGAACTCTGCTTGGGGAGCCAGCAGGGCTTTGCGGGCGAACGAGCGGCGGGTAGAGGATATGGCCAGCTCCGTTGACACCGGGCATAGACTGGGTTCGCGCCATTGGCGGAGCGAGACTCGCAGTCGACTTCGATCGCATGTGAGATGATCCTGAGAGCGGTGACGTCGTACGCGGACGGTAAGGCAGAGCTGATGGGCCGTTCCAGGAAGGTGAGACTGGCGAGGAGGGAGAAGGGTCGGTAGATCGACGAAGAGTGGGAGGCTTTCGAGGAGAATCCATCTCGGGACTCGATAATAGCGAGCTCTGTAGTCTGAGGGTGGGGAGAGGAGAGGAACGGAATTCCTCCATTCTCTCGGTCTCGGGGACAGGCTCCATCTTCGAGGCTTTGTCGGGTGGCCCGAAATGTCACCTTGGAGTTGAGGGCATGGAGTGAGGGGAATTTGACAAGAGCGTGAGGGGATAGTGACACGGTGCTGTCAGCTGCTGTGCGCAAGGCGGGCCTCGACGCTCAGGAATATCGGTAAATGTGCCTCATGTAAAGCAGGCAGGAGTTCCTCAGTCTCACGAACTGAGAGGCACTGGAGGCATCTGGGCTCGCTGTCTCCGACTTTTTTGAGTTGATATTTCGGGCCCGTAGATCGGGGAAGGTTAGGGAATGAAATGGGGGTCGAGAGAAAAGAGGAGATGACGATCGGAGGAGAATATATCACCAAGCGAAAGGAGATGCCAGATCTGCTGCACTATCGGTTCCGAGAACAGCACGGATTAGACGGGACGTCGAGTTCCGGACTCCTCTACAGCGCGAGTGTCGGCCCCAAAGAGAAGTAGAAGCCAAAGGTCAGAAAGAGGGGGAAAGTCGGTTGTTGACAGCGCAGACAACAAAAGGTTGTCGTTGTCGTGAGGAGGAAGCGGCACGCAGGGCCCACGTTGCTTGATTGTGAGTGTGGCCCCAGGACAGGACGGGAGACTGGAATGAGATGGATCCAGCAGCAACAGCCATATACTATGCAGTAACATGTGTGATGGATGGATGGCGGCGAGTGCTGAGGGGGACTGGGGGAGCCTCGTTTAGCCGATAATGTAGCAGCAAATCACACTGAGCCAGCCGGCCAGTCAGGATGCCGGATCCAGCCTGGGCGGTGCTGGGCCACTGAAATTGCCCGCTAGCCTCCCCAATATGGCGCATACAAGCCCTTGGAGCCCTCAAGCCCCCCGAGGTTCTGGGAAGTTGACTGAAGCCGGCCAGCCACAGCGCCGGAAGTGACCCCTCCTCGAGCCCTCGTCTCCCACTAAGGCGGGCGGGAAGCAAGTCCTCTGGATCTAGAATCTGGGGTCGGGGGAAGTACCTGCCCTGCTCAAATCACAAACACCAGCCAGCACACTACACTAATGAAGTGGCTGTCACTGGTCAGGCACCTATCTGAATCAGGAAATCCCCTTCCCCTAAACGGTGCAGCAGGAGGAGCACACTATCCAGACTTGGTCGGTCGGCTTCATACATACTGCATAGTAGTAGTAGGATCAGGACCTGCATATTGGCCTCATAGGACTTACTTCTAGCCTCAGGCTGTTCCCGGATTATCAACATGCCTTTAATGGTTTTTTCTTCTATAGCATAGCCAAGTCATGGTGTCAGTCTGGATGTGCACGCAGGTCTGGGTGAGGCGTAATTGAATCGCTCTCATCTTCCATCCCGATCCCAAAGGTGACGACTGACGCATTCCAGCGGCAGGCACTGACTCGGGCCTTATGTGCTTGTGCACTATGCAGGCTTGCCTACGTGTCTCGTCGCCCTCCTCCCCGTGGCGCGCTAGAATAGAAGGTATTGTATCATAATCAAAAGAGTCGAGACTCTTGAAGAATTAGCACAATCTTGTCTCGCCAGCAGGGCCAAGTTTCATGGCCGGTGGGAGGGAGCCTGTGGCAGAGCAGAGCCCGTTGGGGTTCATCAACTGACATCCAATCGCCGCCCTCGTGATCCCAGGCTGTTGATCTGTGTCATCTGGCCCAGATCATGCACAGCACCATAACACTCAAGAGCATTAAACCCAGTAATCTCCCCTCAAGGCCTAATCCAAGGCCCATCGCCCTGCCTGCTTGTTCGCATTACTCACAGCCCGGCTGCTGTGTTCAGATACAGATCATTAGGCTAGCGGCTGGGGTAGTGATAGGACACGGGCTCTAACCCCTCACACTGGATTTCTTTACACCAGGATAAATGAACGTTGATCATGCAGGAGTCAAGATACTAAACAATCGAAGTCGTGACGTTTATTGGGGCTTCGAAGAATTTGTTTATTACTAAAACTTTTTCAATTTGAATAAAGTAGTGATTTTTTGTTAAAGAGAAATTGATTCTCTTGCCAAACTGATATTTTCTTAACCTGGCGGAGGATTCGACACTTACACAGTGGACAGCATAAGCCGTACAACAAGTTTCGATAATGACCTCCATAGATTCAGCATTTAAGTGATTAAACTCTGAGCTATCAATAACTTCTTTTACAGGCTCATCATTAGCTATCTATGTAAGTAAAATGCAGAGTTTGTAGGTGCTAATTGCTCCTGCTCTGCTCCATGCGTATTGACAGATGCGCCTTTCAATGCTAGTCGCAAAACGATGTCAATGAAAACTAGTCTTTGTTGGTGTGTCCAAGTCATGATGTACTCCTATAGTCGAGTACCATCCGTGTGTTTTCACGGCGCTCTCCAGGGCAAATGCAGGTGATCATAGGATGCATATTCCATGTATACTAAGGCCTATCGATCCTAGACTAATAGAATCTTTCCTTCTACCCCTTCTCCTTTTCTTCATCCTACTCTCTCTCAGAATAATTCGAGACCAAAGCTGGCTCATTCCTAGAAAATCATTAAAAAAATCCCTTGTCCGAATAGTTGTAATGCCTTTGCAGTCTCCTCCGTCACTCCTCCAGGTCTTGTAGGCAGCAGGCCAGCAATCAGTGAACCTCCTCATCAAGAGTATGCTACGATATTATCTGCGACTTAATGATGTTGGACGATCTTTCCACTGCTGATATTGCTCTTTGTAACATTGAAAAATCTTCATAAAGGCTTTTACAATGTCAAAGTTGCTCCATGTAAGCAATGCTACATGTCACTCCCCAAATCGGAAAGTCTCAGTTGCTTACACACAGCCAGCGTTGATATTTCCGCGCTGAATTGACCAAACTTCCGGTTTCTAACAGCCGATTTCGCAACTTTCTTCATCTTACATGCTGCAATGATATCTTGCCCCAGCATCGTGTCATTGCAGCTACAATACCGTCACTGGTCAAGCAGATACATATGATGTCCGACATCTCGTACGCAGACAGAACGACACATGTAAGCCGATCATTCTCTTCAGTTCCATGGGGGCTGTATCGCCGTAGTGATGCATTCTAGGCAGCCGAATAAAATGTATGCCAAGACCACCCGCCTCTCTCAAGAGACAGGAGATGTTCAATTAAACTTAGAGCCCCAATGATTCTAATTGGTAGTCTAATTGGCTACTTTGGCCTGCAACGCTGTGCCTTTGACATGAATACGATGGCTCCTATCAACTAGCCCGTGCTGGCATGCTC